TTAGCTAAATAGCTAGTCTTTACAGACAATGCGACTTGAGTGGATTAATGTGAGATCAAGTGCTGTTAGATATACATGCATGTTATAACTTAATTCTTTAATTAAATAATGATGAAAAATGCTGTAATCTTGAATTTTTATGAGAATTTGATCAGGGTATGTGTTTAGAAATTTTATCATAATCAGTATTTAAAAGTAACATTATATTTGATAATTAGTAGTATTAATAGTCTCTATAGATTATTATTATTGTTAAATTAATACATTTTTCACTTAGCCGATCATCCTTAACCCTAGTTATTATTATTCTTTGGCGAGGATTGCAAGCAATTAATTAGCATGTATACGTGTGTGAATGTGGTACAAGGCACAGAGACCACAGAAGAAGAACAAATAAAACATGCAATTCATGAGTTAAAAATGAAAAACGAGAGAGAAAGTAATATAGTGGAACCAACCATAATATAACACCATACTATTATGAGTAGCATTTTTTCTTTTGGCTGAATGCGTAGGGGTCGACACGGCATTTAAGGTGGTCACAGTCATGAGCCAATCCCTTGTCCCTGTCCTATGGACTAACACACAAACACTTTATATTGAGAGAGTGTGAACTTGGAAAGCTTAAGACTTCGTACCTGGTACTGATCAATACCACTAAAACTTATTCATGTGTCTCACATAGCACAATTACAAAGAAAAAAAGGGGCCCTTTGATGGATTCTCATCTCAAGCCTCAACCTCCAATTATTTCATGGAGAATTCAAGTGGAAAGCTATGTGGGTGGGTGATGTCTCTATCTTTTCCTTTGAATCCCCTTTACTAGGACTGATGTTCGAAAGATGTTTCATTAAGAAGCTTAGTCGATTGGTGAAATGGGTTACTCGAATTTTATGTTACAAAAATCTCTTCTTTTTTTAAGTTAAAGTCTAATTTTGATTTTTTTGTAAAATTTGTCTCTTAAAAATTGATTTAATTTAATATTTTTGAAAGAGTAGCTTATTTGTTAACTTATTATTTATATTTTTTTTGCATAAATCAGTTTGTTACTCTCTCAATTTCAATTTACTTGTCATTAATCATTTTATTCCAATTTTACTCCAAATAAACAATGAATAAAATGCTTTTTGAGTATTGTGTAAGATAAATTTTAAGTAAACAAATAGATAGTTGAGTGAAATCGTTCCATTTATTAAGATTTCATTATCTTCTTTAATCATCGTGAAAAAAATTATAAGTAATAATCAATTTTAAAAAGGAGTGATTTTAAAAAATTGATTAAAACATACTAACAAGGTATTATATATCATCATTTAATTTTAAATTATTGTATCAGCATAAATTATTATATAAAAATATACAATTATTTTGTTTTATATTACTTTATTAGTGTAATTACTAACCTTAACGTTAAAATATTCTTTATAAGTATATACATCGTTTCATTGTGGACAACCTCAGCCCTATGAGCATGTAGTAACACAAAGTACTATAAGTTGCTTTGAACTGGTTGTCTTTAGATCTACTAAAATGATACTAGATTAATATTATATAAATATTTAATATATTAATAATATTATTAAATTTTTATTTCAATGAAATTATTTATTAATATGATATATTATTAATAAAAACACAGAATATTTATGTAAAAAATTTAATTTTATTAATTCAAAAACTATATATATAAATAGAGGGTAATCTGACTTCAAACCTTAGGATATGCCAATTTTTTTTGGTTGTGTGAGGACAGTTGTTACTTTGCATATAAAAGATTCCAAAATTCAAAAACACGTTGGTTCATGTCCAAAGCATTCCGTGAAATGTACGTTTTACACACACACAATATATAATATAATATAATATTTTTCACAAATCTTTATAACAACTTTTATAATGTATTTTTAATCATATCACTTTTTTTTATTGCAAAAGATATTAGTAGAAGATGAAGTGAAATAGTATTATTAAATCAAAATAATACTTTCTCGATCTTATATTAAAATTTACTAGATAATAAAGTATATATATATATATATATATATATCTTAATAAAATAATTAATTTTACATATTACTATGAAAAAATAAGTTAATTTTACTAAATTTATCATAGTAAAAATATTAAAATTATTACAGTGGTTAGGTAATAATGAATTGTTATGTTATGTCAATTATTAAGAAATCAAAGATAAAATTCATATTATTAAAAAAAAGTATAATAATCCATTTTTTACAAATTATTTGTGCTCATTGATCAATAAGAACACAAAAGAACAACAAAATGAATTAGCTGTTGTCGCTGCTGCAGAAAAAAGAATTATAAATTCAATTACTTCATATATCTTATTGTGGATGCTATTTAGTTGTTTTTATTCTTCTTAAAGTATTTATAATTTTAAAAATATTCTTATTTATTAAAAAAAAATTGTTAACTAATTCTTATTTTTAAATCACACCAGACCAATCGGAGACAGTTAATTAAGTAATGCTGCTATTTATATACTCTCACCACAATTTGAGACAAATCATATAACACAATCTTAAGAAAATGGGTAAGTGAGAATGTTACTAATATTCTTTATTAAGAATTAATATGTATACATAGCTACATAATTAATAAAGAATCATATTTATAAAAAAAGTATTTATCTTAAAATAATACATGTTATTTAAATAAAATAATTAATGCCATATTTGATGCTTATTTAAAAATTCATAGAAATGCTGTTTATTTAAATAGTACGAAATAAAATCCAATTCACGTACTACTGAGATGCATTATTTTTTTCATGTTCAAATCATGTAGTTAACGACAAACTTGTAATTTTGTCTTATTACATTAAGAGTCGAAATAGCTTTGGCTATGATCAATTGTTATGCCACTCGTAGGTTCCAAATATCGTTTGATAGTACAAAATATCAAAGGCTTAAAGAAATTGTATAATCGTGCAAAATTGGGTTTGATGTTCAGTACATTTTCAGTCAATCAAGTATTCAACCTTGCTTATATGCAGCGTAATTTAAATTTGAACTATACAATTACTTATGAATAATGAAAATTAAAAGTTCAACTTTAATTTTAATAGTTTATATAAAATTTAATAACTTATTTTTATAATTCACTTTCTCACATTAATAAAATAATATAGTGTTACTCCCACGTATCTTGGAACCATGAGTTGCCATTCATGCATCATATTTTGACTAAAAACAAGTAAAGAGTATACTGAGTTGAATAAATAAAATGATAGATTATGTGTATATAATATCTTGGTTTGGTTATGTGAAAACGATTTCCTATTTATCTGTATGGACAAGAAGGGATTGTGTGCATGATTGTACTACATATCCCTAGAGGAAGCAAACTTGTACACGATGCCCCATACCCAAGCCAAAATAAATAAATGTTCTTCACATCTTTTCTACACATTGATTTATAATTACTACGCCAGAAACAATATTTTATAACTTGTAAAATAGTTAATAAAAATTATTTTGTAATAATATACTTAGAAAGTTATTAGCATTTAACTACTCTTTGTTATATATTTCTAAGAGATAGAAAATTATTTTTTAATATATACTTTTAAGAATAATTAATGTTAGACTGCTCTCTAATATATATTTTTAAAAATAGTTTATTATTAACTATTTATTAATTTATTTTTCTTTGTAATCTAATTTCTAAGTAACGTTCAATTTATGTAATCAATTTCATGTATAACTATTTTTTAATATTAATATTTAAAAGTAGTTATTTAACTGATCTTTTAAGAGCAAAATATTATATAACGTAAAATTTTAAAATAATTTTAAATATTTTTTGTATTAAAATAAAAATGTTCTCACATTTCTTTTTAGTATAATAAATTCATCTTTTATTTTTTTTAATTACATCATTCATCTTATTTCACATATGAGTATATATTGTATATAAAATTTTCAGAACAATTTTTATCTTAAACATTTAATAGTTAGAAGCCATATTAAACTTTTACTAATCTAAGTCAAATAAAATAAAACTTTCTCGATATAAATATAATTAAATTGAAGAGCTCCCTCAAATATATATATATATATATTATCTTTTTATTTTTTTAATGGACAAAGACCTTGAGAAGGCGATAGCACTGCCACGCCAATTAATCTCATTCTCCTTATCTCCTAATCTATTCATCACTCTTTCTCTCCCACCCAAAATAAAAAGCCTATATAGCTCTCTCCTAATCTCTATCTCACTCTTAGTGTTTGTTCCCTTGTGCTATTCCCACCAACATCTTCAACCCAGATGACCAAAACACCCTCCCTTAATAATTTATATTCAATAATTTAAAAACTAAAATAATATTTTTGTAAACTGGAAAGTTAAATTGATTGAAATGTATAATTTTAATGGGTAATTTAATAAATGATATTTAGCCTATGATGAACAGAAGTGAAAGTGTGGTGGGGATATTTTGGTAATATGAATTATTAGAGGGAAAATATCTTAGGGTGGATGGTGTCATTTTGTAGATGCATTGGGGTATATTGGTCTCCATCGTTTACTGTTTCAACTTCGAGGGTCCAACTATTAGTTATCTGCTCTTTGAATAGTTTTATTAGTATAAATTTCTAAAATTGATACTAACAAATTACATTTTATACTAACACTTGATATATTGATAGTATATATTAATATTTTTATTAATAACATTATTTATCGGTATAATATATTATATTATTAATAAAATTTTGGACGGAGATTTAATTTGAACATTCGAAAAATTTTATAAAAAAATTAGATGTGAACTATTAAAATTAGAAAGATCAAAATCACATACATGTTAAAATATAGGAACCTAAAGTGCAGCTAAATCTATAAAAAATATGTATAAAATTAATGTATTTCAATTAAAATTTAATATAATTTTTCTTTTAAGATAGAGAAAATGAGAGAGATGGAAATTATTTTACTGAGGATCAAATCCCTCAACTCTTTCTTTGTCTCAACCCTAAACCATGTTAGCATTTATTAAGAGAAATTCTTTTTTAGATCGATAAGTTTTTATAGATGGTTTTTTTTATTGTAAAAAATATATAATCTGAACAAAATCTATAAATTGGCCCATCATCAATACAAGTCTATAAGGCATTTTGGGCCATAGGCCCATTTGATGTAACAAATCTGCAATGATATATATCTTTAACAGTGACATATCATTGAAGATTAAATCGTAAACGATTGGAAGTGAAGTATAAAAAACTTACGTGTAAAAATTAAAATATAGCTTTTTATTAAACACAAAAATTAATTTATAAACAAAAATTAATTATAGAAACTAAATATACAATTTAAAATATCAATTAATTTAAAAATAAGCTCAAACAATCAATTTACTCACTCAGGTCATAGTGTCCGTATTTGATTACTGGTTGAACATGAGTTGGCACCTGCAGCATTTCAGGGCGTCGATGTATTTGCAACAATTGAAGGTAAGGCATTCCTCCTCCTTCTATTTTTAATGTTATCAAAGTGGAAAGCTCAACTCTCAAAACCTTCAGATTCATAAACCATCCCTCTTTGAAACACAACACGTTGCCTTCATATGATTCATAAAGTTGGAGCTCTACCAGTGCTGACAACTCTTTTATAAGAGGCAGTGGATCTTCTGTTAATTGTGATCCATCCAAGCGCAGCTTCACAAGACTTTTAAGTTTGTGAACCCAATGTGGCAACTTTTCCAAACGCCCATCTAAGTAAAGGCGTTGGAGACTCTCAGGAGAGACTCTCAATGACTCCAACTCAATAACTTCTTCTTCTGCTGCTTTAATTGATAATGACCTCAAACAAGTCATGCACTCTATAGCATTGCATAATAATGTCCCATCTTTTCTATTTATATTAAAGATGCCCAAATCCCTTATCTGCTTCAGATTCTTTAGTTCTTTCATAATCACATCCCCATTATTACTTGCTTCAACCATTCTTAACTTCTGCAGTGAACTTAAATGTCCAATTCCTACCTTCAATTTCACACCGACACCAAATTCATATGCCAAAAGATGACGCAACTTAGCAAGTCTTTCAATCTCACATGGCAATTCACGCACCCCAGTATATTTTAAGTCCAGGGTCTCAAGATTCTGCAACTTACCAATGAACTTGGGAATCGAGCGGATGCGGGTTGACCTTAAACTCAAATATTTCAAATGGAATAAGTCTCCAACTGCTTTAGGAAGATAATCAAGAGGTGCATCTTCACAGTCTAATCTTGCCAAGAGCTTAAACCTTGAGAACAATGATTCGAACACAGAAGTTGGTGTGTATCGATCAATCCCAAAAAGAAAACAAGACCGTATTAGCCCATAGTTTGCAACACTTTTCTTCACAGGATCATCGTCAACACATTCGTCAATTGACAAGCGCCGAGTCCACTCATGCAACACGAGTCTCTTACTTTTCTTCACTTGACAAAAGTTCAGCTCCTCACACTTTCTGAGAATAAAATCATGCATCAAGTCATGGACCCTACAACGTCTAACCCGGCCATACGGGAACACTTCAACCACTTTAACCAAGCTCCTAGCAATAAGCTCATTTAAGTATTCTTCCGCTACTTCCTCAAGTGTTTGACCATCATTCTCTTTGTTCTCTACAAAACCCTCTGCTATCCACAAATTAATGAGCCTCACACAGCTGATCGAGTAATCCTCAGGGAAAAGGCCAAAGTATAAGAGGCATGACTTGAGGTGGTAACTAAGATCTTGGTAACTTTCAGACAGAACCTGATGGACGCAGCTAAGATGGGGATCACTTGAAAGTTTTGAGCGTAGGCTATCATATACCCTTTTCCATTCTAAGACATTTTTATTTTTGGTTGAGAGGAGACTAGCAATAGCCACAATTGCAAGTGGCACTCCATTGCACTTCTTAACAAACTCTTCTGACAATCCTTCCAAATCTTTGGGACAATCTTCTCGGAAAGCCTTCAGACAGAAAAGGTTCCAAGCATCCTCATGATTCAGTGGTTGCGTGTCATAGGTATGAATTGGTCCATGACCTCCACAAAACTCAGCAACTCTCCTATCTCTTGTGGTGATGATTATCATACCCTTGTCTCTTGGTAATGCATGTTCTACATCTCCCCAAAAGCTTTCTTCCCATACATCATCAAAAACAATCAAATAGCTCTTTCCTTGTAAGTATTCTCTTAGGTTTATTATCAGAGCGTTTCTGTCCATTTCACTAATTTCATTGACTGATCCTTTGTCGCCAGCCTCCTCATAAAATCTCTTTAGCAGATCCTTCAATAGATTCTCTCCCTTGAGCAATCGAGATACAGTGATCCAAGCATAGCAATTAAAAGATGCTTCCCCCTTCTTTTGATTAAATACCTTGTTCACAACAGTTGTTTTACCTTGATATAAAAAAGTTTACAAAATAAAATTTTGAAAAAGTTAAAAATGTGATATGATGTTACAATATCATAGAAAATATAAAAATTAATCTCTTCATAAGAATATATGAAGTGGTAAAATAAAACAGTATACTGATGTTTCAATGTTTTATGAATCCTTTAAAAAGATACAACATTTCTATATCTTGAGTTCATGACATCTATATAAGTTCATAAACAAAAATTCATTAATATACCTAGGATTGCATTATTTTTCTCATGAGATAACAAACTTAGACAAACCCTCGTTTATATTAACATTGTGAGCTACTGTTTTTTGTTTTTTTTTTAATGTATCATTTAAGTAGATAACAACGGCTCAAAATACTAATATAAAGAGTTAGGACATTACCATGACCACCTTCGCCTACCACTGAGATCACAGTGCGACTACCTTTTTCTAACAGCCAATTACATAATACATGCTTGGTATGGTCAATCCCCACAAGCTGATCATCCTCAATGAAAAGGGCACCCTGTCGAAGATAATGCAGCGTGGTAATATCACTCCTTGATTCTAGAGCAGACGGATTGAACCCAAAAGTTTCCTTTTCTCTGCTGAGTCTTTCTATTGATTCTCTGATCTCATCAATCTGTGATGCAATCTTTTGGCGGGACATGACAGATCTGAGCAAGTCACAAATTTTACATATGACACTAGCAACCCCACAATTGTCTTGAAGCTTATTGTGCACTTGCAACAAGTACTCATCAATCACATCTTCAATACGATATGAAACTTGTCTCATTTGCATGATCCACTCTTTCAATGAGTGGTTGGTTTTTCCCATTTCCGCTTTTGCATCTGCATCCTTTAAGTAAGCACGAATCATTTGTAATTGGCCTTTCACTGACTCAAGTTGGTTTGGCACTCCTCTCTGAAGATTAACTTCATCTCTAAGTAAAGGGATCAACTTGTCAATCACAAGGTTCACTGCTATTTCTGCCATTTGATGAAATAAACCTGTAACAAAGATACAAACCTAAGCTTGCTGATAGATTTGCAACCATCATGGATATATAGACACACACCTTAAAAATCAAATATAAAACCAGTCAGAGTAGATACTCTTAAAATCTTTCATCAATTTTGTAACTGCCAATAGAATTTCCCAAATCATAAATCATTTTACAATCAATAATTTCTCATCTGTATAGTTCTTCAGGTAGAGCAAAATAGTAGTTTCAAAAATCTGATCTCAATCTTTGGCTAATTAAGCATCACACAAAATATCCACTTCAACTAACTCAGCTCCAAACACGCTAAATAATAGAAACTAAAATATGGAAATTACTCGGCTACATATGGCAAAGTGAAACTCTGATAAATCAGAAAATTACAACAAATACAGAGTACATAAGTCAGAGTCACAAATGGCTCATAGCAACATTACTTATTCTGATATAAATCAAAATAGAGAAGTTTGAAGTATCAATAGCAGTTAAATTTCCAGACATGAACAAAATCGAAACCAATAAGATGAGGAGGAACAAAAATGTAATCTTTAACATATTTTTCAAATATATATATATATTTATTTATTAGTCAAAATTGTAAAGTACAAATCCAAATTATTAATTAAAAGTAATATTTACATTATTTTTATTATTTTAAATAAATTTGATCTAATAATAAAAAATGTTAAAAAATATGTTACTAACTTTTTCAATAAATAAAATAAAAATATTTTTTAAAAATATTCAATATTTTTTTATTAATGAGAATAATATTTTTAAAAGAGAAAATTAAACTTTTAGGAAAATTGACATAAAATTTAAGCATAAAAAGATGAGAAAAAAAAAATGGAGGCAATAATTGATTGATAGTTCGTAATTAAGTTAAGGTCTACGGTACAGATGAGAACGCGGAATTGAGCAAACTAATTAATGTAGAAAATGAGATGAATCTGCCCACAAATGTTACTAAACAATCAAGAAGTGAGGTCTAGAAATTAAGTCTAAAGCAAAAAAGCATAACTTGTGTCATTGCTAAGCATAACCAGAATGACCTTCAATTGACTCAATTTGTTAAAGCTTATATATAAGGCTCATTGGAAGATTTATGCTCTAAGATCACTCTAGCAGCCACATGACACTTCAATACTTGTTTTTACTGAAGGATTTTGAAATCATTGGACAATACAATTAGCGATGAGCGTTGACTGGATCAAACTATTGACTCACTCATTGCTTATGAGTGTGGGATACAAAAATTACAAATCTAATAATACAAATTAAAAGACAACAATAATTTGCATACCAAGGACCATGAGCATGATTAAGTCATTACAAAATATATATTGTCTAGTTAATTTAAAAGGTAAATATTTATACTACTAAAAATTTAATTAACGTGTCATCGTATTTTATATATATATACCATTAAAATAATTTTTAAACACAAAATAGATATCAAATTTGATATTTTGTATTATCATTTTCTTTAAAAATGAATATGGAAAGGTTAAATATCTATGGGAAACTTATATGGTAAAAAATGTTAATATTCGGAGAACCAATTTAAGGGTATGTTTTTATTTTTAAAAACTCCTCATTACATTTTTAATAATTTTTTAATATTATTACATTAATCATAATTTTATTTATTTAAAATCCATTTTTCATCTACTAAAGATCCAAGATCCAAATTCAAAGTACAAATATAATACAAGATAAATTTGGGCCAAAGCCTACACAAGTCTTTCTTACTCTTAAAACTTCCACAAGTTTATCTACAACATTGGAAAATAGCACTAACTCAAGCATTTTTGTGTGAACTAAGTTTTTCTTCATACTTCTTCTCCATTATGTTTAGAGAAAACTATGCTTGTTCTCTAATCTCCATCTTAATCTTCCTCCAACTAAACACATCTTAACCTGTTGCACGGTTACAAGATAATAATTGCAATTTTCTGCTTAATTTGGTAACTTTAAGTTGACAACTATAATAAGAAATAATACCTTTGTACACAAACGTTAAAATGGAGAAGAAAATTAAAGAGCACTCGTGTAGAGGAAAACTGAAAAGAATAGCATTTATCAAATAATAAAGAACAATTAAATTTATTTTGTTTCTTTCCTTATAAGTTACAAAAATTCATTCATAAGTTGATATTTTCATGTATAAATATGCTCTTATTGTTCATATATTAGTACAAACAAGCATTTTAGTGGCCTCAATAAAATCTTATTGTTCAAAAGGTGATGGCAACGTTCAAAAACTTTTGTCTAATGGTAGTGATCTTCATGGCTAATGCTACTTTGTTCGTCAAAACAAGTCTTTCATATGAAGATTTTGAGGGTCCTGTTACTGATACTAAGTATGACGAAAGGCCATTGTCATCGCTTGAAAACTACTTGAAGAATTGTATGCTTAAGTTACACCCACCATGTGATGAACTCTATGTGTTTGGTAAAATATATTTTGGTAATGGAACAGTTAGCAAAGATTGTTGCCATAATATTGTCCATGACATGGGAAAACATTGCCATGACAGCTTCACAAAATATGTTCTACAATCACCAAAATTCAAGGCAAATAGAACCCAAATTTTACAAAGGAGTAACCAATTTTGGAATAAATGTAGCCATTCTTCAACACAACTTGATGAAGTTCACAGTCTTTCTAGTGATGCTAATTTTGCACCAAGGCCATCATCACCATTTGAAAATTATTTGAAGGATTGTGCAGTTAAGTTACATTCACATTGTGGTGAGAAAATATTTTTGGGGATTTTTTTTGGCAATGATACAATTAGTAAAGATTGTTGTCACAACCTTGTCCATGACGTAGGGAAACCTTGCAATGATAACATGACAAAATACGTTTTGAGATCACCCCAATTTAAGCAAAATGAGACCCAAATTTTGAATAGGAGTAGCAAAATTTGGACTGATTGTACTCTAATTGACCATCATTGAGGAAGCTTAAGTTTAATATTTTAAACGTGTATACATTATTGTAATTCTTATAATATCGTATTATTTTACAAGAAAAACTTAATACACATTATTGGTTGGATTATATCTATTGCCAAGTTTTTTTGGTTATTAAATTGTAGTTATCTGAATTTTTTATTTAAAACTCAAGCATATTTCAATGCAAATAAAGAGGACTTGTTATACGAAGATTTGAATCTCATATAATTTAGCATGACTCATGTAAACTTCAATCAATAATAAAATACGTTAAATTAACAGGATGTAAGAAGAATTTATGAAAATAATTTATGACTTTTATGATTTTTCTAAAACTTGTTTTAATAAATTTATTTTTATATATTTATTAAAATATTTTTTTTCAAATTTTGTCTACAATTTTTATAATTATATTTATAGTATAAATCCCTTATACAATAAAAAATTGTTAAATAAGTATTTAATTTAGTTGTTACCCTACACACCTTACATCAAAGGTATATTACTAACCAACAAATATATTTCATATTTTAAACTTTGAGTTTAACATTTTACAATTGAATTCAAGTTGCAACTAATTAATTTAGTGAAGACTACCACCTTAGTTACTTTAATTTTACTGTGCTTGGCTGCTCACTATGATGAAAGGAAAGGCCGAAATGTGACACCATATTTTTTTAGATTTGGATAAATGCTAGCCAATTTTTCTCTTTAGATAGATCATGTGTTTATGAGAAGGTAGTTTTGGGTAAGGTATTCTTTTTATGACAATACTTTCTGATAAGGTCAAATATATTTAACAAAATTTCTTATTACTATTGCCACTATCCTTAACACAGTGGGTTTTTGTCTATGTTGAGAGTTTTCTTCCCAATCTTTGTTCTATTTCTCTATCTTTTCTTTTACTATTTATCTTATTTTCATTTTATTTTTTTACTGTATTTGGCTCCTTTCTCTCCTACATTTAAATTATTGGAACCACCTTAAGACTTGTGATAATCTGAAAGGTAAAAAAATTTCTTCAAACTGGACTAATCTAGAGAAAAAAAGAGAGAGAAGAGAAGCATGTTTTTTGTAATTATGTTTATTATGCTGGGAAGTGGGAGATTAGTTTTTAATGTTAGTGTTTTGTAGTCATAAAGTTGTATTTAGTATTAAATATGCATGTTTGATCTTTTACGGTGTAATATTGTAATTACTTGATTGTAAGTTTCGTTAGCTCTCTTAATCTATAACTATTTGATAAAAAGAAAAAGAAAAAACATTGTGATGAGAATGCATTTTTTGGTTGTTTTTTCGCAATGGCACAATCACTAAATATTGCCATAACCTTGTCTATGTTAACCTTGCAATGATAACATGACAAAATACGTTTTGAGATAATCGTAATTTAAGCAAAATGGGACCCAATTTTATGAGTAACAAAACATGGATTGATTGTATTGTAGTATCATCCTTGACGAGCTAAAGTTTAATTATGTGAATCCTTATTCATTATTCTAATCGTTATAATATATTATTATTTGGCAAGAAAAACAATACAATTCGCTTCTATTATCCCACCAATTTTTTGAACACATAATCGGTTGAATTATAAACATTACCAAGTTTTGTTGGTTATTATAAGTATCTGAAAGTTTAATTTCAAATCTCAAACACTTTATTTTGCAAACAAAGCTCAGTTAAATTCAATTCATTATATGAATGGCATACAAGTCCGAGTGTACTTAATATTTTATGGGTTAAAGAAGGACAAACAAACAATATTTTCTCATTTTAATTTAAAATTTTATCAAATCTAGTGCAACATTTTAGGGAAGAGCAGCAAGAATGCTTAAAGAAGAATTTGTTTTCATCGAATTTCAACTTTGAGAATTGACCTGTTGCAAAATATATTTCTCTCTAAATGCTTTCACTTTCATTTGTTATCATTGTTAGTCTTGTTATTATTATTAACATTATTCTTCAAGACTTATTTTAAGCATACAAAAATGACAAATTTTTATGAGAAAAATAAAATTACACTTTTATACTTTCTTATGTAATAACTGTTATAAATGCACCAAAATCAGAATCATCACATGCAAAATATGCACGATTGAATACACACAAAAAAAAAACAAGTATATGAACGACATTGCAACAGGTTACATTTCTATTGTGGCAAACAAACGAGACATTTTAATAATAATCAGTTAGCAAATATTCCCTCTTAAAGGCTTATCTTGTCATAACATAGGAAAAACTGCCCAAACAGCGTGCACATGACCACATTTCAGCCCAAACTGATGAAGTTTAAGAACTTGCATATTTAGCTAAACATTATTTGCTTAATGCACCTCACCTCTTGTCACTAAAATTCCATCAAACTAATTTTTGCATTTGATTGCAACTATTTCAAGAACTATATTACAATTAACATGCCGAGGTATTTCTCAGCTAAATATAACATTTATGGCTGATTTCAACATATGAGAAAAGAATTACTTTCACCGTGAAATCAAGGATGTATCTATTGCTATTTTTTGCCGCAGAGAATAAATAAATAAAATAGCATAAAAATATTTTTTTTTAAAATCTAACAGGTCCTGCTTCGTTGCTGAAAACTCTGCTCACGTGGTTTCAACTCTGTTTAATTATGTCCATTTGACCACTTCATTTACTGAAGACGGCAGTCGGAGCCAAATGAACTCACCTGCACAAGTACAAGGAAACAGGTTATTACAATATTGGCAAAAAAAGTCTAGTGTTAAGGCCCAAGACATTTAAAAGTGTGTAAAAAGAAAAAAGGTCCAACAAAAGCTTCCAACCTTAATAATATATGGATGAATAGTCTCACATGAAGCTGAATGAAAGCCACAGTCCATTAGAAAAATCATTGAAGACAGTTTCGAAAAAAACGGATTCCCTGTGTCATGGAATTTAAATGGCAAAAAAATTATTTAAGATGAACTGCCAATCTACAGATACAGTCAATTAAAGAATAACAAAAATCGAATAATGCAAAGTCTCAAGGAAGTGAAAGACTACCTGTAATGCAAAAGTAATATCACCCTCATCTACTTTAGGCGTTACTCTTTTCAATTTATCCTCTCGAGCTTGACCTAGTTTAATAAGCCCCTGCAATTGTATTGTATGTTTCATAAACTTGCCTATTATCACTTGTCCTCATTGATAAATCATACTTGAATATGAATTTCATCCACTTGCAGGAAGCTACATCTAGAAATTCATATTCAAATCAATTATAGATTTAAATACCTGGTCATTTAGCACTCTGCACATATTTGAAAATTCTAAGATTCCTGCAGGGGGAATCAGTGATGATTTGCATATCTCCATATATGATTTATACAACTGCATCATTATTAAAACTTTAGAAATTAATAAATAAATAAATATATATATATATATATATATATATATATATATATATATAGGTTAAACTGGGTCAAGTCCTTGAGTGCGGGTGTAGCATACCTCTCCAAGGATTGTATCTTTCTTGGCTCCACGAAAATGTTTTATAGATGAGCAGAGTACAATCTGCAAATAGGACAGATCCAGAAAAAAGGTTATAGTCTGTACCTAGTGTTAAATTCAGTATTCAGTTAAACAAGCAAAAAAATTACACGTCCAGTACCCAGTCAAAGATCTTTAGGTTAGTTGAGTGCTTTATTAAACAAGCCTTTAATAACTAACTACCTACCCTTGTTATCACAAATGTTTCTCTGCCTACCCTTCAATGACTATAAACTTCTACAACAGTTCATACGGTTAATCAACAAAGGTCCCTTTTTCCATCTTTCTTTCTAGCTTACATGTTAGCTCATTGCAGAAGATGGAGAATCCGTACAATACAAGGACAAAAAAAATTTGAACAAATAGGACTGTAGAGACTAAAAGATCCGTGGCAGAGCAGGTCAGTTAGCACATTTGATAGGACTGAAAAGTTATGTTACTTCTTGTAACAAGAAGCCTTAGCTCAGTAGATAACATGACATACTCATAGTTCAGGTTTACCTGTTGATGATGCGGCAGAGACTGTATTGTATCCACAACCGGCGATCTATATGTCTTGGACAAGGCAAGAGCCATATGATCAATCCTTACCTACAATTTATTTTGAAGAACTTAGGCTTTTAGCTACAAGAAGAGGAAGATTAGATAACAGAAGAACTCTAACCATTTAGTAAATTTAAAATTGTTGTATACTGGGGCTCCCCTGTCTTTAACACTTTAACGACAGTGCAGATTTTGATTAAAGAAAATAGTTCATTGCAGCTACAAATTAATTATACTAAGTGCTATTATTAAACAAAGTTGCCAATATCTTGTACTACTTATAAGTTGTAACAACACCTAAGACTAAGGTGGTTGAATTTGAAACTTGGAACAAAACTTGAGGAAATGCATTCAAACCTAATAAAGAATCAAAAGAGATGTGTAATAAATGCTTATTATTTTCATTCTATTTTATCCTTTCCTAAATGGTTCACAATTTTCAGCACAACTCCATCCACGGGTAAGCCAGCAAATCAGAAAAAAAAATTTCAGCACTTACAACATCAAATTCTCGTTTTTTCAAGAAATCAGAAGCTGTAGCAAGAATGTGTTCAGAGGATGATTTCTCCTCCAATGAAGTATTCAAATTGCAGGCAGATTCTCTAATTTCCGCTTCCAGAATCTCTATTGCACTCCTGAAAAAGAAAATAACCATTAAACTTGTTCCCACGGTGATTTTACTCTGGCTAATCGCAAAAACAAATCTTTTGTAAGCAATCTAACAAGAATGGATCAGTATTGGAGAAATGAACTAGGATTCTAGGAATTGTATTACTTTCACTTACTCAATCCCTAGGTAAGTATCAAAAAGATACAAGAACAGTGATGGAGTGAAAAATCGAAAAAAAAGTGTCACCCTCCCAAGCATTCAAGTGACCTAAGAACTCCCCTAACTGAAATATCAATTCAACCACACCCAATATAATTAACTGTCTGATGGACAAGTATTATTGTAACTAACTCACTCAGTCCTAGTTACCTCATTGCCCTTCTTATTCGTCCTACTCTAAACCCTCTATAATAGCTGGTTTACTAGCACAGTCATAACTCCTGAAAGGCTGAAAGATGCCTAATAAGTTCCTGGTTCAATTTCAAATACCATAGCATAAAATTTAAATTTAAACACAAAAAAAAAAAAAAACAGGAATGAGTTCCGCATGCACCCAAGTTCCATTTAAATCTTTCTATAAAAAAGGTAAAATAAAATGGACACTTTAGACGAATGAGCATACATGGATGCCAAAATTCAAGATCCATCTATATGAATAGGTTCAATTTCAAATATCATGGGGTATAAAAGCCAAAGAATAGTTTACAACAATAATGAAAAAAATGACTGACCTGCATATACAAAGAGCATTTCGCATATCTCCAGAAGCAGCAGCAACTTTCTGCAAAGTGCAGTGCCAATTAGGTTCCACATAATACATGTATATTATTTCAAGATGAATTATGATAGCATTTTTTATTCTCCTCTTACTAGTTATTTTATTGAAACCAATTCCATAAACCGAAATCTTTTATTAGATGCAAGATCCCAGGTAGAGACTGTACATGATAACAGCAAATATAAACTTTGGGCGATGATAAATGGACTCACCCTAGCACATAGTTCCAGTGCTTGATGTTGGAATACAGTGTAAGGAAGTTCCTGACAGTGAGACAAAGCTATTAATAAAAATATTCAACAAGAAATATAAAATTTGGTTAACTTTTTCTTCTTCCATCAAGCCATGCAGATGTTTTTTAAGCAAACTTCACAATGATAAATTTCTTCCAACATCCATTATTCAAGTTGAAAATGTCACAACCCTAAAACCCAATCAAGTTCAAAAGCAATGATCTTACATTTAATCTTTCTTCAAGAATCTTGAGGATCTGATCTTTAGAGTAAGCTCGAAAGTTTACAACAATAGGCTTGCCTAGAAAAAAACAAATGGAAGAATTTTAAAAATAAGAGAAAAGGAAAAATAATGTTTGGGGACGTAAACAACTATAAGGATGGCTTCATTACTAAAGTCATTGAGAAAATATCCACCAAGTTTGAAATTAAATGAAAGATGTTTGTATAAACTTCTTGGCTTGACTTACAATTTAATGATGTAAGCCTTGGAAGAAATCGATCAGCTAGGTCAATTGCATTCGCTACACCTGCATGAAGTAAACAAGCACAATAAGTCCAACATAGCCCAGATTATTTTATAAGTTCAGTGTTATAACAAAGTCAGAAACAAGTTCTCATTTGTAAGAAATTTACCTATTAGTATACATCTAGAAAACGGGAAAGTGGTGAGCATGAAAAGATCATGAAGCACAGCTCTGTCTTTGGTTATCAGATAATCTAATTCATCAGCTATTATCAACCTGTTACAATGGAGTCATATTAACCTTCAATAACATCCAAATTACAGAAACAAGTAGAAGAAGAAAATCATATATGCCTGTCAATTAAGATTCAGTTAAGATTTCTAATGTGTCTTAGTCCAGGGAAAGGATTTGCTTCTTACGTCATGTTCTTGATAGAAGGTTTCTGAGAATACATGTTCTGAAGTTGCTGTAAGGGTGTGGCCGTAACCTTTTTACCCCGTTCTCTGTTTAACCCAAGTATCTGCTAAAACAGAAGGGGGGTCAGTCAACTGATAGTGTTGACTACAATAAAATGTAACTAGGCAATCCTACCTTAGTGAAAATATCAGACGTATTGGCGAGGGATGTACAGTTTAGAGATAAAACATCTGGCAGGGGGAGACCTGCCTGCAAATTAGATTGTATTAGTGGGAGGATCAATAAATTGCTAAATATTTGAAATTAAAGACCTAAAACACAACCAACCACACAATTACAATGAATCATAGCAACAATAACATGAAGTCAACAAGTGTATCACACCTCCGTAGCCCAATTGAGTAAAAGCTCTTTCACTTTCTCCATAGACAACGATTTCCCCGTTCCAGGACACCCACATATGTACAAACTCCCAGCCTTTTGGTGCTCCACGCACCCCTTCACGAACCCTAAAACCACACTCTGCTCCTCCTCACGACACACAACCGTAGATGGCGCAGTAGATAAGTGCAATGCCAACTTCACCGTCTTCAATTGCTCACCGTCTACAATTTCCTCAACACAAGTAAAACATAAATCAAATTTCCCACCACAAAGACAAAAATAAAATAAAAAAATAAAGGAAAAACGAAGCTCACCTTTGGGATTCAATTTGGGTTTCGCAACTACGATGTTGACTTGGTTTTCATCAGCCTCAAGTTTGTTTCCCTATAAATGAAACACCACAAACCAATTCAGTTACACGAATCAAAAGTAGTCATAAGTGTGAATGCTGGAGAATTAGGATTAGGTTGATTTTGGGATTACAGTGGAGGCGGACTTGGGGGATGCGGCGACGCATCGGCGAGGCGATTTACGGATGGGTGAGGAAGGGGGTGGCGCGTGAGATTTTGGTCTGCGCTTGGCGGAGATTGCTGGCATTGATGCTGATGTTGAGAAAGGAGAAAGTAGAAAGGGAATAGAGTTAGGGATTTGGAGTTTGAAGAATGGAATAGAATTTACGAATGAAGATTGAAGATTGAAGATTGAAGAGATCAAAGAAGAGAGAGATATAAGGTTCTGAGAGCGGGAAAACGTTGGCGCGGGGATTTTCGTTTTCCCGCGCCATTATTCTGGGCAGATTTTGTATACAAGAAGATTAATATATTGATCTTATTAATTAATAAATAAATAAATTGTGTGAATTTCGTTAAATAATAAATGAGGTCTAGTAGATAGAATATGAGATTTCATATTCTTAAAATCCAAATAAATTTTATTTTATGACAAAAAAATACAATAAAAATGTAAATTAAGAATGTGTTATTGACATTGTTTAAATAAAAATAGATTCAAATAAAAGTGACTCGGTTTGTTTTTTTTTATCGTAAATAACTTTTTCTTGCAAGACACCCAAACACAAAAATATTCCGTTTTCTCATTTTGCCAAAAATTACTTGCAATACTATTTATATCTATATTTATAAATCCAAGCTTATATTTTCTTTTTCAATTTCAAAATTAAATTTCAATTTTAACTATTATTTTATTAATTTTTATACATTTCTCTCTCTCTCATCATATATTATTTAATTATTATACACAATCAAGTATTTATTTATGACATAATAAATTTTTTATCATGTTGTAAAAAAATATTTTATTCAATCAATAATCAAACAATATTTTGTTTATATATATATATACATATATATATATATATATATATATATATTCTATTATAGAGCATAAAAAATATAGTTTATTTTAAAGAAAATTATACAACTAGTTAATAATTATTTTATTATTATGTATTAATATGAATTGACAATAGGTAATATAAAAATTATTAATAACATTAAATAAATATATATATTTATTTATTTATTTTATATTTTGTACTACATACGTTCGTAGATGCGCGTATATAAAATACTTTAATACTTGAAGAAATGTTTTTGATATAATGTAAAACAAATATTTTATCAAACATAATTCAAACAATAATATTTTTGTGATAATAATAATATAACGATAATAAATTATATTATCTATTAAGTTAATATATTCTTACAATAATAATCAATAAAAATTATAACAATTTTATTATTAACTAATATAAATAATCTTTTTATCAATCTATCCATAACCTAAGAATTAAATATATTTTTAATCTTAAAATAAACAAGTAGAGCAAGTCATGGAGATCTATTTCATTGTCTCATAACACAAGTAAATCACAATGTGATTTGTTTAAGATGTTCAATTCCATTTAATGTTAAATTATTTTAAAAAATTATCAGAAGTTCATACCTGTTAAAAAATTGTATCACAAACACGAATAAAATAATGGTATCTTAAATAAATAAAAACTAATTGTATTAATATGATTGGATATGACAATCTAGTACAACGTGTGTGTCTATAAGATACAACATTAACAGCAATTACAGGATTTAACAGAATTAACATACATAAATACATGTTAACTAAAGTTAAATTCCACAATTATATTAGATTATAAAAGTCAAGAAAAATTAATTGAGGTTACGTTCATAAATAACAAAATACAATACTTATGTTCATATTATCACCTTTCTAAATTATCTCTTAACCATTAGAGTATTTTTCACATTAACACCTTTGGCACAATTTGATGGTGTCTCATTCCACGAGTGATTGTTGAGACCATATTTGTCTCAAACTATACAAAACAAAATCTATAACCACAAGAATGGTATTGTAGGTATATTTTTTTATTTTGTTAACTTTTTTAAATGACTTAAAAATATTTTAACATTGCTTTTAAAAAATAAATTTAAGCAATAAAAATATTATTTTATTAAAAAGTATGAAAATAAAATGTTCCCAAACAAAGAAAGGGGAAAATAAAAAGAAGGGCATGGCATGCTGAGGTCAGTTGCTAACCATAGCCACAGGGTTCAGTGGTGGGTGGGGTTGGAATTGAAGACTTTTGGGAGACAAAGTATGTTTTAATTGCTAACTTTTTAGAATTCTATATCTGAATTGACCTTGCCTCCAAACACTTGCTCTCACAGTTCCATCTAATTATTACTTGCATTTTACTTTATGGTCACTCTTATTATTATTTGCATTTAGTATAAATCCTATGCAAGATAATGATCTCAGATCAAACCCATCAACAACAACAACAACAATCAAGCCACTCCATTGCTGACAAAGTTCTTGACACAATCAATCCTCACTCGCATCTCCGACAAACCTTTGCTCTTTTCTCTTAACCTTTTCATGTTGCCTCTATCTCCATTAATGCTTAAAAGCTTCAACTTGAAGGGTTAACGACCATTACCTAATACTTCCATCAAATAATAACTAAAATACAAAATAACTCACTTATATTTATAAAATAATTATTATATTTAAAAGACTTATTTTTTAATATTTATACAAGTGTTTTATTATGTTTTAGTATATGTTGTTTATATTTTAATTTATAATATTATAATAACATAAATGATAAAAGAGAGCAAATTTTAATAAAATATTCATGTAAAGACAAAAATATCAGATATTTTAAGTAGAGAAATTAACATATAAGTTTTTTTAGTATATGAACTAAAATATAAATATTTTTAAGTACAACAACTATTTTGTATATCAAATATTGAAATTAAATATGAATTTTAACTTATTATAATTTTTAAAAAATATAATATACCAAATTTAGTTGGAAAATGCATATAATTATAAACCAATTTTATCTTTTTAACATTTTGATATTGACTAATGAATAATTTTACTTATGTGTGTTTTTTACATTTTATTCTACTTTTAGAATAATAAATAAAATATCAAGATTAGTATTTTTATTATAACTTTATAACATGTAACTATATCAATTTATGTATAATACATTTTATTATATTAATCAAGTGTTTAATTTCTAAAGAAGCTGTATAATTTAAAAGTAAATTTTCTACTTAAGTGTTTGTGTAACCTTTGAAGGGAGATACTTAATTAAGTTTGTATTTTGTTTATGTGATGTATCAATTTTTATAATATATATGCATATTTCATATGAGAAATGAAATAATTACAGTATTTAAATATAAAATTACACTGCTATTTAAAGTTTTAGAAAATTATCTTTATTATATAAATAAATTTATAAATTTTTTACCACAATATAAATAAGCGATTCTTATTAAATCAATGGAAAATCTTATTAGTTTGTCATTTTATTACTTTTCTATCAATTAGATAAAAAAAAATTATATATATATATATATATATATATATACATACATTTTTATCATATTACATGACTTAAAAAGACTATACATGCTTACATGTTTTTAAATTGTGTTAAAAATTTTTACTACATGTAGTATTTTACTAACTATGATATTTGTTTTTATTATTATTTATATATTTACTAAATCAATAAATTTTATTAATAAACATGTATGATCTCATACCATAAATGATTTTTTACTTAAATATTTGTGTGTTTTAATTTTGTTTAAATTAATAATTCTTTTATTTTGTAACTTATTTTTTACTTCTAATTAAAATATAAATTTTAACACTTGCTTATGAATTAGTCGTTGTATTTAAAGGATAAAAAAAACTTATGTTTTTAGTTCTTCATGAATGTGTTATGTCTTGTTCTTTATTATTACAACAATGTTAACACCATTAAAACATAACAAATCATTTGTATAAGAATTAAAACATAATTTTAAAAATATAAAGACTATTATGTAGATAAATGTCAAGTATAGAATCTAAATACATAATTTAATTTTAAAACTTTTAGTGTAAAGCAAATAAAATTTGTTAGGAGTGTGTTTAACTTTTGTAATTAAATTGTTATTATTTTATTTTTATTTATTTAGATTTTAGACTACATATATTTTTTATTATAAATAATTTTGTTAAAATTGTAAAATTACTTTGGCCGACAACTTTTCTTTTAAGTATTCAATGCTATTATATTTATTGAAATTCAAATTTAAGATTATGTAAAGCAACTTTTGCTAGTTGATATATTTGCTTAATGATAAAAATTCATTTTTTTTAAAGTTTCTCAATAATAAATTAATTTATACTTTAAGTAACTTTGCGATGGAATCAATGTTTATGGATTTTTTTTTTATAAATATGTACTATACTTACGCATTTTAAATAATATTTTTATTATTATATAGAATAAATATAAAATGTACTGTATGTATACTTATGATCTTAAAAATATATAATTATTTATTTTTATTTAATAATTAAAAATATTCATAATATATAAAAATATAAAAATTATAATAATTAATTTTTTCTCATCCAGTTTAATTTGAATCTAATCAAAGTTGCTTAAACGATACCAAACTCCTTATCACTTAAACCAACTTTCATTAATTAATTAATTTTTTTTATTGTGTTTGCTATGTGTACTTCTAATAATTTTTTTCTACTGTCATATAAAATAAGTATTCAATAAAAACATATATTTATTGTATTAGAAACATAGAAAACATTTAATATGATTTTTTTACATTCTTTTATATATATTTTTCTATTAACCCTCTTTCTATTAGATAAAATAAATATTAAATGAAAAACTACAAACTTTTATTATTTTAAAAAATGTATTAATATTTTATTTATTTAACAATAAGAATATTTATGGGTCATTTTTTTATTATGATTTTTTTAAAATAAAATTACAAAAATATGGCATTTTTTACAAAATTATATAAATATGGTGTATATAAAAATGTTAATGACGATTTTAAGACGCAAAAAAATAAAATATGATAAAGTAAACTCGCTATTAACAATTTTATGGCACAAAAAATAAATTTGACAAAGTAAAGTTGTCATTGACGAGTTTACTTTATCAGAAAAGTAGATATGATTGGTAAAAATTATCAGTGACTATTTATATTGTTGGAAAAATATTCACTTTTTTAAACTAGCCAATGACGACCTTTGACCAATATAAATTTTAAAAAATGTTATAAAACACTATTAGCGTTTTTTATTTGGTGAAGTTATAAATACTAGAATCTATGTTCATTGCAATTTGTCTCTACAACCATTTGAAGTTTTTAGAAAGTGTGTGTGAAGCTTGTGTGTTTATGAAAATAAATCAAGTGTGGTTGTTGTAATTTATTTTTAATAGTAAGATTATATTAAATATGAGTGAAGGTGTGTCATTTGCATGCGAGAAACTAACATGTGTGTATATTCTATATAATGTATCATTTAAAGATTTAAAGTGTTGGCTTTGTCAATATGTTCATGAAGTTCCATTTCCAAAAATAGTAGAAAGTGTTATGTATCGATGTCCAGTGCCCGATATTTAGTGGTTTTATGCAATATCATTCGATTCCAATAACTAACGATAATGATGTTTAATAAATGTTTCAGATACATCAATAATATCATCCTCCAAGTAGTACAATTGAGTTGTATGTTATTTTCAAAAGTAATAAGGTTCGAGAATAATTTGTCGTGCTACCAGAGAATAGCAGTAAAAGTGATGACTATAACTTTGAAGGAGATTATCAAAGTGATGAGGATCTTGGTAATAATACTGATGAAGAGGAGCCCCGTATGGGTGGGCAACATCCTTTTGGTGAACCACCCTTCATCGTGAATTAGATCTTGATGTTATGAATGCTTTTGAGTTTTGCAAACTTATATATATGAAATTTGTAATTATAGTAGTGAGATTAATTATAGTTTTGTTAATTAGTTTATGTTCGCTATTGATAGGTAACACAGAGATGAATTGTATGTTGGAAGACAATTTAGTGACAAGAAAGTTGTTATAAAAATAGTAAAGCATTACAGTATATCAAAAGGAGTATACTACAAGAGGAGTAGACTACAAGAGTGTTAGAGTCATAACCAATTACTTTTTATTGTAAATGTGTAAGATATGACTTAGATTGCATGTGACTTTTTTGAGCTAATTTTAGGAAAAATGAGTATTTTTGAGAAATCTGAAAATATAATGGTCCATACACTTATACTGTTAGAATCATTTATCAAGATCACAGGAAGTTGAATACAGACACAATTGCAGAATATATAAAGTCAATGGTAGAATCTAATCCTTCTTTTAAAATCAAAGTAGTGATTGAGGAAATCTAGTCTCTATTTGGGTACATGATAAGTTATTGAAAAATTTGGTTGGCAAATAAAAGGCAATTGAAAAAGCATTTAGTCAGTGGGAAGCCTCATTTGAAGCTTTGCCACAATGGTGCATAACAATGTGTAATGTTGTTCGAGGATCTCTTGTGAAATTAGATGTTGCAAAGACTTATCGCAATGATGAAATGGTTTTTAATGTTCAAATAATACAACTAGTATTTTAGAGTTTTAGTTATTATATTAAAGCATTTCAAAATTGTAAATCACTTGTGCAGGTTGATGAGATTCATTTATATGACAAATACAAGAGAGTTATACTAGTGGCTGTTGCACAAGATGGAAATCAAAATATATTGCAAGTGCATTTGCTATTGTTGAGGGTAAGACAATAGATGGTTGAAGTTTACAGAGTGTTCAGAGCTTAGTCCTGCCATGTTCTTGTGCATTGCACTGTTTGCTGTTGCAAAAATGCTCATGATAACTTTATCTCTTAACTACCGTTAAAATCGCCATTTGTGATTTTACAAGAACTTGAAACTGCGGCCTGCATTTTTGTTATTATTTTGTTCGGATTAAAATTGTCATTAGTATTTTTGTGAAGACAAAAAATTGCAAACTATATCCTACCATGATGCTGTTTACAATAAAATCACCATTTACATTTTTTTTATTTTGGTAATAATGTAAAATATACCATATTTCTGAACTTCTTTTCTTAATATACTGTATTCAAATCACTTTTCTAAATATTTATAGGTATCATACTTCCATTCTAAAAATATAAAAATAGTTTGAGAAAAAAATAATAATTAAGTTACCCTGTAATTACGCCTGCATCACCTTCGCTTATCCACTAAGTGAAACAGAGATCTTATTTTTATAACAAATAACATAAACGTCGTATTACTGTGGAATTTGAAATTCTTTCCTTCTTCTACAATCTAACACGCCAAAATAAAATTCAAAGCAATGACGCAAAGTGAGAAGTGAGAACTTCTTTTCTAAGGAACAAATCTTGAAATTTTATAGAACAAACCCAAACAAAAATATGAGAATTTTTAAGAAGATGAGAAAGAGAAATAAGTTAATAACAAATCTGTAAACTATTTGATAATTCTTACAAAAATTATTGTACTTTAATTTTATAATTAAATTCCCAATCTTATAAATAGTTTATAACTGACATCTACACATTAGGTTTCAATCAAAATTAGACCGAATATTTTTAATGTCATTGGGTAAACATTTTCAAATAAGTCCTTATATTTTAAGATTTAAAAAATAAAAAAATTCAAACAGATCCTAAACTATTAAGAATTTTTAAATAAGTCATCAACTTCACAACTTACTTATAAAAACCTAAAGTCAAGAACTTAATCATAAATATATTTATAATTCAAAGATTTTTTTAACCAGGTATTTTTAAACTACAGATTTTCCTTAAAAAATCCAAATAATTACAAAATTTAGTGAATAATAATTATAATAAGATACTGTTGCTTGAACAAAGACACCCATGTATGTACATATATCTAGGAGGCATGGAAAGTCACATGAATTTGGAAATTTCTGTGTTTTTGGTTTGTATGGCCACTGTCTCTGGTGACACAGTGGAAGACGTACAACAGACACCACCTCAAAGGAAGCTGCGTCTGTTTCATGATTCATCATTGATGATCAAAACCTTCTTTTGATCACAACTAGAAAGTGACATTGGTGGGACCCTTTACAAGCTGGACGGTAAAGATGATAAGCATGCCTTTTGTTGTTGCTTTTTTTTCTAAATTTTCTTTCTCTACCCAACACTGTATGTAATCATTATTATAATGCCATTTTACCATCCAATATAAATGCTTCATTTCTTTTGTCTTTTCAAGTGGGAATATTCATCTTTTGTTTTTTCCCTGTCTGTTCAACCATCCCCCTCACTTGTTGGTTCAATCCTCAATTCTCCTCTTCAATCAAGGTATGTGTGATCTACCCTTCTGGTCAACTTAATACATCTTGTTTGCAGATTCTTAGTTTTGCTTCCAAACTTCAGATCATCTTTTTTACTGCATTGTTGTTGCTGTTTGACTTTGCTTTTCCAAGGACCAAGCAGTGGTCTTTGTGGTTCATACTTGGTATGCTGATTTCAGAGGCTTAAAGTGAGGATTTTGAGGTAGGCCCAATTGTGGGATTTGGCTGCTATGGAACAATTTCTGCTTAGTTTGAGTGTTATGTTGATGATTTTGGGACATTGTGCGTTGGGCTAGTTTCTCAATTTTTTTCTGAAATTTTGAGGAATATTTTCTGAGTGTATAGTCTAAATTTCTTGCTAGTGTCAGAAGTGTGGTTTCTTCCCCCCCTTCCTAGTAGATATCGATGTTTTAACTGTGAAGGATGGAATGTGGCAGTTATAGATTGATTTGAATTTCAAAATTAAGCACATTGCCATTCACATGAAAAGGTATAAAAGGTGAATAAGAAAAAAGAAATGATGTAAGTTCTTGACATAGATAGGTTAAGCCCAACATGTATTGGCCGTATTGCAGAAATTAAGTACGCATGCTTTTCATGCCCGATGCCTGATGCATATTTACTTTGGAGTGTTTCATATAAAAACAATTAGAACTTTATGTGATTGCCTTTTATTGTATTTACATAAGAAAAATACTACAACTGTAATGCCCTCTTTGAGCCCTCTGTAATTGCTTTGTTCTTATAGTTATATCTTAAACCCTAACTTGATGAATTTTAATAATATGCTCTGGAAAGTGTAACCAATTAGTTACATTCGTCTCAGGTTCTGAGGACTAACATAACATAACTCTTGGATTGCAGAATAAGCTAGTGTTGAGTTATTTCAGTGGACCATTAGAGCCATAGTGACAATGCCTGTTTTCACTAAAGATATGGATTCTGCATTCCAAACTGCAGGAGCAAACCCGTATCCTTGCCACCATTTTCTTTCAAGTTGCCTCAAAGCTTGTGTTAGCGTATAGACTAGGCTGTAGTTATTTTCACGTTCAGTTTTTTCTTTTTTTTTTTACATGACAAAGAAAACTGAGTTGCTATTAATTTTTTATGACAAAGTCACCGACAAGTGGTTAACTTGCCTTGCATTAGCCCATGTCAATTGAAAAGGGTTTCCTCAGGCATTGTTGAATATTTTATTGATTATAATTTATAAAGAAAAACAAAAAGATGGAAATTAATGGTGGGATACACATAAAAGTCCTGCCCTACAAACTTATTTCATGAGTGTTTTCTTTTTTAAAGTTTGAAGATGTCTCCTGGTTCTTCCAGACTTATGTTTCAGCTGCAAGAATTATTTTAAATGTATCACGCTTCTTTGTTCAAGTTTTCTGCTTTATACTTAGCTTAATGTTCTCAGAGGCTTAGAAGTTTGGTGTATTGAGAACCAGCATTTGGTTCCGGTATCAAAGTCAAGCCATGGAAAGTTCTATACTGGAAGCACATACTTAGTTTTGAATGTAAGATATTGTTCACTTTATTTCTTTGTTGATCCTATTAAATGCATGAAGAAGTAGATGGTGGTATCTCAACTAAAATCCAACATTTCAAATTGCTATCATCAATGTATCTTTCACAGCTTCACTAACCCTTTTTGAAATTAATCCCATTAAGAGCCACCTTCACCATAGTGAAGTTTTAGCAATTCCCTATCAGTATGAACATCATTTTCATTGAAATTTTCTTGACATACAATTGATCCAGACCTTTTTACATGTTTGTTGGAACAGGCAGTCTTTCCAAAAAATGGTCCTCCTCACTATGACATACATTATTGGTTGGGAAATGATGCAAAGAAGGTCTGTATTGTTTGCTTTTTTACTTGTCTTCTTGCAGTGGTAATTGTTTATTACTTTTAACCAACTGCAGGTAAAGATTTTTAGCCTTTATATACCCTGAGTCCTTTTTCCTCCCAATCGGTTCCTTATTCCTTTTTCTCATAATGTGGTGTGGTAATCCATTTTCATAAAACTATTTCATGTCGTGTTTGTCATCATGTTTACTGTGATAAAGTATTCTCTTATCTGAGAAGAAAGAGGAACTGAATAGAAATGTAACTTGTGACATTGAAGAACACGTGAAACTAGAATGACAAATTTATAGTTCAGAGATTTCCTCAATAACACTTTCTTGATGTGTAATTTCTGTTTATCCAACAGAAAACAAACAGTATGGGTGTGTATTAGCTTAGCTAAGAATTACTTGAGGATTTAAATGTGGTTAAATGGACTAAGGAAGGTGTTTGGTATATTGGAACAAATATCTGTCACAGCATTTGATTCAAAAGATACATTAAACAATGAACATAGATTTTGAAAGAGTATGAATATTGAATTGCTGATAATGGTTTAACAGCACGATCAGCATTGTTTCACTATTGAGTAAGTGTTTACAGGTGGACTCAGGCCTGGCATCAGACAAGGCACTCGAGTTGGATGCAGCCTTAGGATCATGCAGTGTTCAATATCGGGAAATTCAAGGCCAAGAATCACAGAAATTTCTGTCATACTTCAAGCCTTGTTTTATACCCATTGAAGGAGTGTTTACTTCAAAGCAGGGGAACTTAAATGGTGAATACCATGTTTGCATGTACACTTGCAAGGGAGACTATGTTGTTCATGTGAAAGAAGTGAGTTGTTCCTGAATTTTGATAATTAACTGCTTCTCTTGTCTGATAGTGCCAATCTCCTCCTCTGCCTATTTCTCCTACTGTAAAGTTTAGTTACTGATGAGAGTTTATTGTGTCTCTGCATAATCCTGTACCATTTTCTAATTATTTCAAAGGGTTATTTGGCCATGACTTTTATGAGGTGATGGAACAATGATTCACAACTTTAGGTAATAATATCAATGATGATCATTGTTGAGCTTGTATGTGTTAGTCTCCAGGCCCTCGTTACCATTTTCTTGTCTTTGCTTTCAGTTGTTTGATTTTTCATGTATTTCTTAAGTTATAATACTTTGTTTTTATGTCTTCAGTTTAACTGGAAGTTGATTAATAGCCTGTCTAATGTGCTTTTATATTCTTTAGGTGCCGTATTTGAGGTCATCATTGAATCATGAAGATGTATTCATTCTTGACACTGCATCAAAAATCTTCCTCTTCAGTGGGTGCAACTCTACTATTCAAGAAAGAGCCAAAGCTTTGGAGGTTGTTCAGTATATCAAGGAGAATAGGCATGGTGGAAAATGTGAGGTGGCAACAATAGGTTGGAATATACGCTAACTTTTTTTCAGTGCTTATATCTGTTTTATGAGGTAAAGATGTTGCAAATCATAGTTGTCCAATTGTTGTAGAGGATGGAAAATTTGTTGGTGATTCTGATGTGGGTGAATTCTGGAGTTTATTTGGTGGTTATGCGCCCATTCCTCGAGAGTTGCCTTCTGTTCAAGAACCTGTGGCTCCATCTATAAAGCTATTTTGGTGAGGTTCATACTTCTGTGTGTACAATGCTTGTGTGAATGCATCAGGACGTGTGTTGATAAGCCATACTTGCTCAACCTATTTCTTTCTTAAACCTACCACAAGTTTGTATTGAATCAATAATTAAACTGCATCATATTGATGGTTCAATGGTCAACTTAATGACAACATAGTTTATTGACTAATCCAAATTACTTTGTTAGTTGGTTTAAATGAAAAGCAATCTGCTTTGGCGACATGTAAAGGAGAAATAACAAAAAATAACTTTGTTTACTTCAAGAAATATTTATTATGCATAGCTAAGGCATGGTCATTGTCACATTTCAACAGGATAAATTTACAGGGAAAACTGTGTGATATTGGAAGCAATTCATTTAGCAAAGAAATGCTTGAGTCAGACAAGTGTTATATGTTGGACTGTGATGGTGAGATTTTTGTCTGGATGGGAAGGCAGACTTTATTGACAGAAAGAAGAACGGCAATCAAAGCTATAGAAGTAAAAGTTTCTTTCTTTAAATTTCTTTTTGTATATGGAAACTGAGCTTTAGTAAATATCCTAGCTTTTCTGGTCAGCATTTGTTGCTATCATGTATAGTTATTTTATAGTCCCAAAAGAATGAAGGCCAGTCTACTTGTCTCAAATTCTTACTTATAAACTAAAATCCTACTTACAATCCACCGCTTTGTCAACTGCAGTCCATCTCTACCATTTGTTTGCTATTTATTTGCCTTTGTTCATGAAACATAGAAATGTATTCTTTGGTAGATTTATTCCTTAAAAATTATTTTTATTCTGGTTTCTTTGGAGCCAAAATTCTTTATAGTATGTAATAATGAAGCCTTAGCTGACCTCACCTAGCGGGATAAGGTTTGGTCATTGTTGCATTAACTACATTAATGCATGTAATCAACTATGTTTGTCCCTAAGCATTGCATTGAGGGCATTGCCTATGCTCACTATAATCTCCATTTTTGTAGGATTTTGTCAGAAATGAAGGCAGATCAGACAAGACTCATTTGACATTTTTATCAGAAGGATTGGAAAGTACCATCTTTCGCACATACTTTGCTAATTGGCCAAAAACTGCAGAGCCTAGACTTTATGAGGAAGGCCGCGAAAAAGTGGCAGGTTTAGTATCTTGTACAATTTGCTTGTGTTTAAGTATACCAATTAGTGTCATCTGTAGTTCTTTTTCTTTATATTTGATTTTTCTGCCTCAGCCATATTCAAGCATCAGGGTTACGATGTGAAAGAACTTCAATTTGCTTGTGTATAAGAAGTATACCAATTAGTGTCATCTGTAGTTCTTTTTCTTTATATTTGATTTTTCTGCCACAGCCATATTCAAGCATCAGGGTTATGATGTGAAAGAACTTCCTGAAGAAGACAATGAACCATCTATAGATTGCAATGGGACAATAAAAGTAGCTTCTTGCTCAAAACCTAGCTGTTTATTGTCCTATGATTGTATTTGTCTTTTCCTGTGTTGACTATCAACTCAATACTGCAATTTCAGGCATGGCGAGTGGATGGTGATGAACTATCCCTTCTTTCAGTTACAGAACTGACAAAGTTTTACAGCGGAGATTGCTATATAGTACAGTATACATTTCCAGGAAATGGAAGGGATGAAACTCTGTTTTATGCATGGCTTGGCTCTGGACGTGTAATGGTAGGAACTAGTCAAGGTTTTTTTTGTCTTACTCTAGGTAGTTGTTTAACCTTTAACTCATAGAAATGGATTAAGGGACATCTAGATCCTTCTTAATGGTTTGTCCTTTAGTTTTTTCTTGTTCTCCCTCTACCACTAGGGGCTAACTCTATTTTATCTATTCTCCTTGCTGAGTTTCTATAGGTCTTTCTCACTTTTGCCCAAACCACTTAAAGCGAGATTTTTTATCATTTTTTCTATAAAGAGTGCTATCCCAAGATCCTCCACTTTTTCTTTAATGCATTCTTTCCTATTCCTATATTGTCTAGTATGTCCATTCCTTACATCCAATGCAACTTTCTCATCTATGCTACATCAAGTTTATTCTCTTGTTGGCTTTTTAACAACTAGCATTTGGAAATGCTATTGTTTCCAGAAGCTGTCAACAATTCTAATTTTTTCCTTCCATGTTGTACTCAATTCTTTGACTTCTATAGCTATTGATAAACTCATAATCTCATCTTTTGGAAATAGGTTTGGTTGTTGTTGATAACTATTGTAAATCTGTGTTGTAAACATGTGATTGGTGCTGCCTATAATACAGTAATTGTTACTCTTTCATAATTATTCGATATTTCTATAATTAGGCTAAAGAATATTTTATAGATAGTTACGCCGATACAGTATAGATTTATTCTTCCCCAGTTACTGGTTTTAGGATTATTTTTCCCTATAAATAGATGTACAAATTCTGTAAACAAATTCTCAAGCAATAATACATTCTTTTCTCATTTGCTCTGTCATCAACTATAACTCTTAAACACAAATTGCTCTTTTGTCTATGACTTTGGCTTGCAGGAGGATAAAACAATTGCCATTTCGCACATGAGTAGTATGGCTGAATCAGTCAGAACAAATCCAGTTATGGTTAGTGCTGTTTGTGCCATACCAACTCCTTCATAATGTGCTGTTGATTGGATATGTGCAATAATCAAATCATTGTTTTGGGGGAATATCTGTACATTTTTTTTTATCTTCTCAACAACTGATAGCTTTGTATTGCTAAATCCTGCATCTTAAGCATGTCCATATAAAAGACATATAACTTTCCTGTGTACTCCACATAATATATTCAGTTCACATATCATGTCTGTTCAGGCTCAAATCCATGAGGGTGAGGAACCAGCTCAGTTTTTCTCAATACTCCAGAGACTAATCATATTCAAGGTATGTGCCCAATGTTATCTCATTTAAGTTTTGTTTGCACTAATAAAAAGTGTGATATGCTCTAAGTTCTTTCATTTTTCTTCTTCTCTTGTAAGGGGGGAAACAGTTCAGGATATAGAAAGTATATAGAGGAAAAAGGTGTAGTGGATGAAACTTACAATGAAAACCTAGTAGCTCTGTTTCGAGTTCAAGGTACAAGTCCAGATAATTTGCAGGCCATCCAAGTTGATCATGTACGTTTCATTGATTCTGTCTTTTTTATCCATAGTGGAGCCCTTTTTATCTTTAATATATCTTATCTCTAATTACCAGAAAAATGGATACCAAGGCTTCAGGCAAAGTTCTTTCTAATTATCATTTATCAACTGTTTCAATACCTTGTTCTTATTGAATATGGACTAAATACTTAAATCCTACCTGCAGGTCTATTGGCTGTTATATATGTGATAAATCCTAAATAATTTTTGTTAGTTTGGCTGGAACCAAAATAAGATTAATTAGAATAATCTCTTTGAAATTTTGTCTTTTTCCCATGTGTTGTGCTTGAAATGTTGGTTTATATTAAAACATACTTTGCTTGTATCCCGTTTTATTTTTCATATAAAATCCTATATTATTTTTAAGCTTGTATTGACTATGTATTAAAATTGTTATAGGTTTCAACCTCCCTGAATTCATCCTATTGCTACATTCTGCAAACTAAAGGATCTATCTATACATGGATTGGGAGCCTATCTTCAGCTAGAGACCATAATCTTCTTGATATAATGGTTGAACTGCTTAATGTATGTCACTGTTCTTGACGTGGTGCTGGAAATTTTTATCTAAATGATAGTCTCTGTGAAGAAAGCATTTAATGATTGTTTTAACTTGTCTATAATTTCTTGATTCAACTTGCAGTCAACATGGCTACCTGTATCTGTAAGGGAAGGAAATGAACCTGATACGTTCTGGGATGCTCTTGGTGGAAAGGCAGAGTATCCAAAAGGGAAAGAAATTCAACGATTCATAGATGATCCACATTTGTTCGCATTAAAAATAACCAGAGGTAAGAAAAGCACCCTTTTGAGAAAAATAGTCTAGATCTCACTTGCTTTAGAATTATCCTGGGTGAAATGACAGGGAAAGCATGTCTAATTGATGGTTCTGTTTCTCACCCACATTTTATTGGAATTTCAACTCAGGAGACTTCAAGGTATATTGTCTCTACCAGTTGAAACTGTTCATGTACTATATCTCTCGCCTGTAATAATAATAATTTGAATACCTGCTACATTGTGCTAGCACTAAGCTTTTGTGTCAGTAACATAAGAAAATATTATTGTTGAAGAAGACTGAGATAAGGCCCACCATGAATACCAATTTTAATAAACATTTAAATTATATACACTGAGGTTGAAATGCCAATAGTAACAATTGGAATTGAGGCCATGTTTTTTTCAATAAATTCTATGAACTTTGTATTATGGCCTTTTTTATTAAAATTTTTCCTGTGCATGCGTATATTATTTAAATGTGATTAATTAAGTATGGTCTTGATATAATATTTCAGGTGAAGGAGATATATAATTATTCACAGGATGACTTAATTACTGAAGATGTTTTGTTGCTTGATTGTCAAAGAGAGATTTATGTTTGGGTTGGCTCACATTCGGTTGTCAAATCAAAACAAGAAGCCCTCAACCTTGGTTTGGTACGTATATTGATCTCAGTGATAACTTTAATACTAATTGTCACACCATGATGTCACCGAACAGACACAATTAAATCAATTTCTGCATGCTTGGACCTCAAGTCTCAGCCCTTATAGAAACTTTTTCTCTGCCAATGGATCCAAGTGCTTCATTAGAATGCCTCTATGCTATGCATGGAAGTCATTATTGATCTAATTCATAAAGAACCTAGTTTTATAGCTTTTTCTCCCGAACTAATTCTTATTCATCTATAAAGTTATATCAAATTCTACAGTTATCAATGTAATATGGACTTTGCTGCAATATGTTTTCTTACAATGGAAATTTAACATGCAGAAATTTCTGGAAATGGATGTCCTTGTTGAAGGCCTATCCCTGAACATTCCTATTTATGTTGTAACGGAAGGTCATGAGCCACCATTCTTCACTCGTTTCTTTTCATGGGATCACTCAAAAGCAAATGTAAGTCTTCTCCCTTCAAAATTATAAATATTGATCATCATGATTATTAATTTTAAGAAGTTCTCGGTGACTTGGTGTGATAGTGGTGGAGTTTTATAGAGACTTGAGTCAATCTCCTGCCCCAATCTTCCCCGAAAAATTTAGATTAGATTGATATTTTTGTTATATATATTGTGGTTGGTTTACCTGTAAGTGTAGTGTAATTTTTATTTTTGTTAGTTTAGGCAAGAATCATTTTATAATGCATTTTTCAATTGTTTTGCTGATTGGTTTTCTGTTTTAATTTTCATTATTCTCTTATTTACATAATGCTTTTCTTCTGTATGCCTGTTAAGCATTTGCTTCTAAATTTAGATGATATTTATTGTGGTAAATAGATAAATTTTATATTTTATGTATAATTTTATTCAAAGAATTGGATGTACTATTATAAAAGGGAAGTTTAAAATTTGACTTGAGATGTGAAAATTTGTTCAACTATTTATTCTTTAATGTAAAGTTCACACATGTAATTCAATTTTTTATATCATAACATGGCCTAACAAATACATCAATAGTTTAATTGACCCTACACTGTTGTTCAACTTATGCCAAAGAAATAGCTGGAATGTTTGTTGTGGTTCATTCATCATGTCTGAAGATGGGTGATTCTACTTTCTAGCTGTTTCCCCCCTCACATTCTTCAGTGACCTACAAATTCCTCTGTTGGAAATGTATATAACTAGTCTAAAGTGTTAAGTGAAATTTTATTTGATATAACTCTGCATTCCTGATTCATGCGAATATTTAAGAGTGGTTCAGCCCTCCCTCTTCCTTTTTAACATGCCAAGAAATTTGAAGGGGCATTTGGCACCTACCCGTTATTCCTCCCCTCAATGATATTTGTCATCTATCTTATCAACTATTTTTTAATGAATTGTTGCAGATTGTTGGTAACTCATTTGAGAGAAAGCTTACAATTCTGAAAGGAAAGCCAAAAATTCTAGAAGTACGTGACTGCCTTGGTATTATTAGAGTAGATTTTGTATCAAAGTCTTCCTTAATCTCCTTTTCTATCATTCAGGGACATAATAGAACCCCATTGAAAGCAAACTCCAGGGACTCTACCCCTAATGGTCACAGAAGCATTTCTGTTTTCTCCAATGGGCGTGGAAGAAGCAGTTCACCTGTTCCTAGTGGTGCAGGTTCAGATCTGAGGCAATCAAGTGATCGGCTTCTTTCGGGCCCTACTCCAGTTGTCAAGAAGCTCTTTGAAGGATCTCCTGCCAATAACAGTGCTGGTAATAATAAACCTTTTTATCAAGCTATGATATGAAATTTCTTTAGTTGGATTATTAGCTAATAATAGGTTTGTTAATGGATGCCTATTTGGAGTTATCTACTCTAAAATTGGTATAGTGGAATGTTGTATTCCCCTAGTTCTTGTATTTGACCAAGTTTGAAACTCATTTAGTATTCCAACATATTCCCCCAACTTATAGTGGGGGCTAGTCAGTGATTCTGTTACATATCCAAAATTTATTACTGAAATTTTAATCACTTAAAAAAATGAAACTAAATGTGGAGTACTTGAGAGTGATGGTATAGTATTATGCCTTTCTCTTGTAGTCATTCATTTTTTTTTAATAACCTGACAAGAGTGGTTGTTTTCATTCTTTCCTTGTTATTTTTCCTCATTGTTTTTTTCCTAGAACAAACAATGCCACAGTCTGGTTCTCCAGCAACCGAACTGAACTCATCAAATGAGACTGCAAGTTCCACTCAGAAGGATAGAAATGTGGTTGGTGAGAATTCAGTGACATACCCTTATGAACGCCTGAGAGTGGTTTCTGCTAATCCAGTAACTGGCATTGATTTAACCAGAAGAGAGGTACTTTCTGAACTGAGGAAATCTGGCAGAGAGTTTTCTCAATAGGATAGAAATGTGATAAAGACCAATAAATGAAATTCCCTACTCTATAGGATAAAATATTATATTTATAAGCAGCAGAATGTGGTTACTGCAATAAATTAATAATTACATGATCAGCCAATTGTCAGCTGCAGAACCACATGTAACTTTGGAATCATTTATGTTACAACATTTCCAACATCTTGTGTATGTTACTATATTATTCTTTACTATATTATTTAACATTTCCAATATCTTTACTTTTTACATGAGCTAGTGTGAGACTCCAGAGATGAAAATTCTTACTGAAGCTTAGATAATGAACTTCATTACTTCCCTTCCTGATCACTTTATTTTTGTTGCGATATCAAGTAAAAAAATTGAGTTATTACATATGAGATAGAATTCACTGTTATATTTATATACTCTGTATACCTTGACTAGAGTGTGCACTTTGTGATGAAACTAGGTATATTTATCTATTGAAGAGTTTCGCGAAAAGTTTGGAATGCCAAAATCTTCCTTCTACAAGCTTCCTAAATGGAAGCAAAACAAGCTGAAGATGTCGCTGGATCTATTTTAGAGCAAGTGTGTTGTTTTAGGAGAGCAAGGCCAACAAATACAAATGCATCTGTTTTGTGGTACTATATTACAGCAGTGTAGCATGATACATTAAGTGTTGAGCTTGAGTTGCTCTCTTTTTTGTGAAATACGTGTAATAATTAGTATTCTTGACTACCTTACTACATATTTATTCTTTCATTTTATCTTACAACATACTATTATAACAATGTTTTTGGGGCATGCATATGAAACAGAACAGCCACTCCAATTAACATACAGTTTGGCTTGATAGAATATCAATATCTATGGTTTCTTAGTAATTATACTATTAATTGCTACAATCTTATTGGAAAAGAATATATTAGAAAAGTTGAATCTTATATTGTATGATTATTTTGATGAAGAATATATCTATGGTTATTTCTTAGTTACACTAATAATTACTGCATTCCAAAACGATCTAATTGTACTCATCTAAGAGGAGAAATTATTCGGTGGTCTGGGACTATATAGGATCTCAATCACTCACGTTTGGATATGTGTCAATTTTTAAAAAAATGCATACATGTTTTTTTATTATTATTATTATTTATTTTGGGATCATGCAAAAGTATTTTTCATCTAGGTGTGTTGGATTCAGCATGGACATGCTTGACTTCAAATTTCATAAAAATGACTTAGCTTTAGGTTTTTCTGCATAAAAAAAAATACTTTTATTCTTTTACTTGTTTCTGCAGTTAATTGAAAAAAAAAATGTATAAATAGATTAACTTAAAATATTATAAATAAACTGACAGAAATGATGGTTTATTAGGTTGATAGAACATCCATGTTTCTTAATTACACTAATAATTACTAAACTCTAGTTGGCAAAGAATGAATTCTTGTGCTTAGCCACGGACACAAATGAAATAAGATATTGTATGGTAATTGCAGTTGAATTAATAGTGAAACACAGGATGTTGCGTGGATCATTAGCAGTAGTAGCACGCAGCTTTGCAACTCCGAGCATGAATGTAGAGATGGCCATGTCAAGAATATGGTATCAATGAAAGAATATTCATAAGGGAAAGTCAAATTTTACATTTTGTTAAAGAAAGTTATATTTATACAACTTGTTTTACTTACAAATGAAAAAGAGATAGAAAGAGAAGAGCGAAGTGTACTATAATAAAAATAAAGGTTAATTTTACATTTCGTTTTACATTTTAATTTGTGTATAATTATAGTCTTCTTATTTAATTGTTGGTATTTCTCTAGTTTTTTAATTGTTCAAATTAATTTTTAACTTTAAAATTTTATCTAATAATTAAAAAAATATGACAAGCAGATAATATATCAGTTATTTATATAAATTTGGAAAGAAAAAGTATATAAAAATAATTAAATAAAAAATATTTTTATGATATTTTATTTAAATATTTTATATTTTTTCTTATTGATTTATATAAATCAATAGTATGTTGTATTAAACAAAATTTTAGAGTGAAAGACTTGATCTGAACAATTTAAAAACAGAGAATAAATATGAGTGATTAAAATTAAAAAATAAAAATAAAAATCATAGGTAAGTTAAACTACAGTGACTAAAAGTGAAACCAAGCGTTCAAGTAAAGAATAAATAAAATTTCATATAAATTATTGATAAAGAAGGGGTTGTGTAAGTTGTTTTATAAGAAAAATAATCACATCGATCCTAGCTGGATTAATGAGATTTTATTTATAAAAGAATGATATAATTTTCAATATAATGCCTTAACTTTTATTAGTTCACTTAGGATGAAAATATTTATCCCATGGAAAATATTTTTCTATTTAACTATTGAAAGAGTGAACTTGCATACTTTTATTTGCAACCTCTATATTTTGACACCTATTTGTTTTAATATTTATTTTTAGTCTTTCCTTTCTATTCATCTCTTTCTTTTATATGACGTATCATTTATATCTTTTATTTTATTTTTTATCTCTCTTTTCTCCACTCACTTTACACACACAAAAAAAGGGTCAAGGTATAATTTTCCTTTTATCTATACCTATTGTTAAAATATTGAGTTACATAACGAGCATGTAATAGAAGTGACACTAATCAACCAAAAATAAATATATGTAAAACCATTTTAGATAATTTAACATGAATTCGGTGTTCATTTGAAAGTAATTAAAATAGGTGATATGATAATAGCTGAAAAAAAGTGGATCAGGGAAGTTATGGTTTAGAATTGCTAGTCCCTTTCACTTTCACTCTCAAGTGACTACTCTCTCACCAAAATCCAAAGAAGGAATATGCCATTCGACCATGTAAAATGCTTCAGCCTTTGACCCAGTTGTTTGAAAAACACAAGAGATAAGAAAATTAGAGAAGAAAAGAAAGTGTAAAATGATACGACAAGAAAAAATAAATAGAAAATGAATTGGAAAGAAATATAGTACACTTCAAGGAAATGAGTGGAAGTTCAAACCAGTATTTATGTATTTATACATGCATGCATGTATCAAAAGATGTCAATAGGGCTTACATTTACCTTACCTTTAAGATTATTTTACAAATATTTTGTTAGGAATTAAAATTTGATGAATTAGTTAATTAAATTAAAATAATTTAATAAGATTAACTAATCAAGTAGTTAATGCATAGAAAATAATGTTAGAAAACATGCTCGTATATTTATTTATGTATGCATGTAGTAAAAGATGTCAATTTAAGGTTTGGAGTGTCTTTCAGGAATTAGGGTTAAGGAATGTATCACTTGCTAGTTATTAGAGATTGCAATTATGTATTTTAAATTGCAACTTGTACGTTACAATTTTAGTCTAGCTTATCAACTAATAGTTTTGGAGTGGTTGACCAAAAGACTAATAACATAGACTTGAAGAACACATATATTCGTCTTAGAAATCTCCCCACCCCTTAAATATATTGAAAGATGTCAATTTAAATATATTTTAAGTATTAAGAATATCTAAATAATATCACCCTCATATCTTACTTATGAATAAAAAAGATTGGTTCCATGGACCAAAATTTTACTTTGTAAAATATTTGCATGTATTGAGTCTGCATTAAAATTTAATACTTGTTAATTGAAATGACAATAATTTTATTATTTTTAAGTAAGTTTTGAATTTGAGTTTTTTAAATGATAAAAAAAAGTTATGCCCTTTGAAAACTTTCGAAAATTGAAAATCTTAAACAAATTAAGATGTTAAAAATGTAAAAATGTGATTATGGTGGTGAGACTGTTTGGAATGTGTGTGCATAATTTTCTGTGTTTCCTAGAAAAGAGAAAGACAGAGACACAAGATCCTTGATTTGAACTGTATTTTCTTGCAATCCTTTTTTATACGAAAAAAAATAATCAATTTAATCTCAAGTTATAATCATCAATCATTTTAGTATTTAAAATTATGAGAAAAATTATAGTTCTTAATAAATTAATGACTGCCATTTATATTATTCTTTAATACTAACGATCTGTCAATTTGTTTCAAATTAATAAAAAAACTAAATTAAAAATGATTATTAAACTTAAGAGCTAAAATAATTAATTTTATAGTGTTATGAATTAAATTATTTAATAGTATCATCGTTAAACACTAAATTGATAATCATTTTTTTAATATTATGTAAAAAAAAACTAAATAAATTAAGAATTTAATTTATATACATTGACTGTGTAATTTTTTACATTATTACCCAAAGCTGAATTGTTATATCACTAAAATTACATATTTTTTTTTGTAATAATTAAAATAAATATATTTTTATTAATTGATAATATAATTTTTTTTACATGGCATATCAAAATTAAAATCATTAATTAATACTTATAATTTGAATAACTTAATCTGTTATTTCTTTGTATACCATTGAATTAACTTATCGCCAAACTATTTCCAATTCATTCTCAATCTTTTACTATCTTCAAGGTATGTATAACTTTAGAGGTGAAAAAAATATATTTTCCTATTAAATGACATATTATGTAAGTACTGTTTTTGCAATAATTATCTTTAAAATTGAGTTGCACATCAAATCGATAATAATAAAATATATAATTATTATTATATAAAATATTAAATAAAAATTATAAAAATTAAAAGTTAAATAAAATTTTAAATTAGCATAAAATAATATATTTTATGATTTATAAGACAAAAAATCATAATAAACAGTTAATAATAATAAATTTATATGTAGATATTATGTACAAATCTTTATTTATCTGAATATATTTAAAAATAAAGATATAAAATATAAAAGATTGATTCATTCAACTCTTTACGCTGGTTCTTACTTGATTTTGGAAATTTTTTAATTAGTTTGACTAATTTTTTACTCTGTCAATTTTTTAATTGATCAAATTGGTTCATTCAATCAAATTTTAATAATTCTTGCAACTATACAGGTGTTAACTCATGCAATACTTTTTTATACAACTATACCGTTTTTTTTTTAATCCAAATTTTGGGTAAAGGCAGCATGCAATACTTTCAAAAAAAATCAAATGAGCATATAATATAAGAAACACTAATAAAACAAAAATATATATAACATGTAATATTTTTACAATAATATTATATGAATTAGTAATTAAATATAAACATTTTAATTTACACAATTTTGTTTATTTAGATCACGTATATTTTCTATTTGAGCATGATAACATTATCGTGAATGACAAAATTTTCATTCTAAATATTTGAATTTAATAACTCAAGTGATTGAGGAAAGGTGTGATTTGAGATTGACAGTACCTTTCAAAGAAGGAATATACCATTCGACCATGTAAATGTTCCAAGTTTTGACACAACTATTTGAAATGTAAAACGCATTTTGGTTATTATATTTGTATTTTACCAAACACGTCACTTCAGGCCTAAATCTATTGTTATTTACATGAAAACAAAAGGCACAGAAGCACCCCCCACCAATTTCAAATTTGACTTGTTAAAAAATGACTTGAATTATCTAACTATATATCCAATATTTATGTGCTAAAGCTTTTCAATATTAAAAGAAAGTTTAATTTGAATACATTATCCGTTTTTTAATTCGAACATACGCTTTGAAAGATATATTATATTAATAAATGTAAGATATATGGATTTTATTTTAATTTCTCATATGGACAAGAGTAATATATATATATATAGATAGATAGAGAGAGAGAGAGAGAGAGAGAGCAAAGTGTTAAGGTTGAAAGAGAATGGAATTATATTTTAAAAGAAAAGTTTTGACATTCAATACTCAAACTTAGTACATAAAGTGAATTAGCTAATATTTTTGTTGACATGTATTTGAATAAATTTTGTTATTTTAATAATTACATTACATATGATGTTACTGAAATGATAATACTATATGTCAACAATATATAATAACAAATCACATTCGGTGTTAAATTTGTAAGTATAATATTTTAAAAAAATTATCATAAAATTTATTTATCAATTCAATTATTGAATTATATGATATTATTATATAATTACAATAGTTTTAGTAATTCAAGAAGGTTCAAAGCTTATTATCAACAATTTTGAATCACTAACAGCTCAATATTTAAACTAGATCAAACACTTGGTTCAATACCTACTGTAACACAAATATGCAACATACAAAAACACAACGACGCTTAATACAATGCACACTTAAAAGAGAAGATCATAATAGTTAAAAAATCACTCAATCTTAGGACTTAAAAACTTCTACAATTGAGTTTTTAAAATGTGTAATGTTGTCTGTAGTACCTTAATTGTGTATGAATTACTTATAACTGTTATATATATAATTAATCATCGTCACCATGTTAGATACACATTCTAATCCTATAGTTATTCTACTGGTATAAATATTCATTTACAGAGAACCATATTATCTTCAATTCAGACTCATAAATATAGCAGTGGTCTTACTCTATATCACATTAAACTCACTCCTTTTGGGCTCATAACAGTTAGTTTTTAAGGATTTAAATTTTGATCGTATTAATTCTTGAAATAATTTATCATCTAATTAATTTGTTATAATATCATTCTACATGTTCTTATGAATAACTAATGGGGTAATTATGTAATTTTAAAAAATTAAGTTGACAATTTTCATTTTAAACAAAAATATTGATATTTAACAGTTATGTTTTTATTGCTTAAAGACTTTTACTAGATGTTTCTTTGTTTGTCTCTCTCTCTATATATATATATAATTTTTTTTATATTAGTATAAGTTTAAAATTTTTTATACTTAATTTTAATTTTTTATTTAATTTATATTTAATATGCTATAATTTATTATTTTATTAACTATTAAATATAAATTAAATAAAATACTTAAATTCAATTTAAGAATTTTTAAATTTATACTAACGTAAAAATATTCTTTATATATATATATATATAATTATTTTTTTATAAAGTTTACAAGCGGTATTTTTAACCACAATAATAAATATCACGTTTGATCAAATTATTGGATAATAAATGTCTATTTGTTGATACTTGATTTGTTTACCTTATCAAAATATCGGGTTAGTGGACCACTAATTAGTCGCTTTTTGACCAAATCCTGACAGCACAAACCTGATTCAATATTTCTTCTAAATGAAATTTGACTATTTTAATTATATACTCCTATGTATTAAATATGAGTCTTTTTTTAATAATTTTTTTTTAAAAATAATTTTAAATAAAATATTTTAAAAACTATTTTTATTATGGCATATATATTTTTTTAAATTTTACCTTAATTTAATCTTTTACTTCATGTTTTCAATTTTAAATCGATGCTTATATATATATATATATATATGATTTCACATTAAAATTGATTTAAATCATCAAAGTGTTTTCGTGGACCACCCTTCGCGTGTGACAACTCAGAGAAAATAACCGACCAATAGACCAAAAAGAATGTGAAATGTTTACTTTATTTTATTCTTTTAATAAAAAATTCTGACAGATAAAATTATTAAAACTCTTTTAGTTTAATGGATATGGTATGATAAAAAAAATAGTTAAATAATAATATAATAAAATCAGAATAAGATAAAATATTATTTTATTTTGTTTTATTTTAAATATATTTTTAATGTTGTATTTTCTTGTAATTTTGATTTTAGTTTTTAAGAAGAAAACATTATCACTAGAAATTTAAAATGTTGAATTAAAAAAAAAAAAGAGACCGCACTTAAAATATCACAAAACTATAAAAACTGAAAATATATTTAAGTTGTTGTTTTATATTTGGTGTGTATTAAGATATTAAATTAAATAAATTATTTTATTTTAATTATTTTTAAAACTGGTTTTTAGGTTCTCCACTTCTCTAAAGATAAACTCTACACAAGAAAGAAATACCTTTATTATATCTTATTAATGAAAAATAAAATAATATGAAAAGTTCTATTATATTATTTCATTTTATCTACAACAAGTCTAAAATTATTAAATCAATATACTTTTAGGTTAGGGATATAATTTTTTTTATAAAGAATTAATTTTTATATACTTTTAATAATAATTTTACTTCTCTTTTTTTTTTTTTGTCTCTTTACATGTTTTTGTCATATTATGTTACTTATTATGTCTTCGTTGTTTTTTTTTTTTCCAATATTTCGAAACCATATAGAAAATTAACACTTAAGAAAACTTTTTGTTCTAAAAGAATTAATAGTTAAGAAAAGTTTTCTTAACAAAACCATGAAAGTATGATGGTAAGACTTTGATTGAAACTTGTACATATATTCATTAATTTGGGTGTTTCGTAGATAAGAGTAAGACAAAGACAAGAATAAGAAAAAGAAAGAATCCTTAATTTGAAAGCATATCCCATTTATATATACACATTTCAAATTGCAATAAAAACCACTCAACTAATCATCACACAACCGAGCCGAACCAAACCAAACCAAACCCCCTCACTGTTCCTGTTTTCATTTTAAACTTTCCGGTCACCGGAGATGGATCTCCGGCGAGTCTCTTTCTCCTTCATCCTCGTCCTATTCCTCCTTCTCTCTCCCCATTCTGCCGCCGACGACACTCTCCGGCGGCGAAAACAGAAGATTGCCGGCCCAATCAAGACCGTCGTCGTCATCGTCATGGAGAATCGCTCCTTTGACCATGTCCTCGGGTGGCTCAAGTCGACCCGACCCGACATCGACGGTCTCACGGGCTCCGAATCGAACCGGATCTCCGCCTCCGATCCATCTTCGCCGGAAATCCGCGTCTCCGACGACGCACTCTTCATCGACTCCGACCCAGGCCACTCCTTCCAAGCCATAAGGGAACAAATATTCGGCTCCAATGATAGCTCCGCCAAGCCGGCTCCAATGAACGGCTTCGCTCAACAAGCCGAGTCAATGGTCAACGGCATGTCCAAAACCGTCATGAGCGGTTTTAGACCGGAGATTCTACCGGTTTACACCAAATTGGTTAACCACTTCGGTTTGTTCGATAAATGGTTCGCTTCGGTTCCAGCTTCGACCCAACCGAACCGGTTCTACGTTCACTCCGCCACTTCACACGGTGCTATGAGCAACGTTCGCAAAGACCTCATTCAGGGTTTTCCTCAAAAAACCATTTTTGACTCTCTTAATGAAAATGGCCTTAATTTTGGGATATATTACCAAAATATCCCTGCCACGTTGTTCTTCAAGAGTCTTAGGAAGTTGAAGAATTCTGTGAAGTTTCATAACTATAAGTTGAAGTTCAAGAAGCATGCTAAGAAGGGTAAGCTTCCGAATTATGTGGTGGTGGAGCAGCGTTACTTTGATGTTGACCTTTTTCCGGCGAATGATGACCACCCTTCGCATGATGTTGCTGTGGGGCAAATGTTTGTGAAAGAGGTGTATGAGATTTTGAGGAAGAGTCCTCAGTGGAAGGAGATGGCGATTTTGATTACTTATGATGAACATGGTGGGTTTTATGATCATGTGCCTACACCTGTTGAGGGTGTTCCTAACCCTGATGGGATCATTGGGCCTCCCCCTTATTACTTTAGGTTTGATAGGTTGGGCGTTCGTGTGCCCACCATTCTTATCTCGCCTTGGATTGAGAAGGGAACTGGTATGTGTTGAAAAGTTTTGATATTTTTTGTAAGTTTTATTTTTGGGTCTTGTGTTGTTTGTTCATGTTGGTTTTGATTGTGTGGATGATGATTCAAATCTTGTTTTGCTTTGATTTTGTTTAGTGTAGTTTTTTTAAGGGGAAAGAAAGAGATTTTGATGGTATGTGGTGAGTTAGGTTTTGGGGGTGAAATACGAAGGAAGTCCGGTGAAATTTGACCTTTTTGAACCACCCTTTTCTAACTTTTGAGTTATCAGATTGAGGATGTTGAACATCTTTTGGCTTTGTTGGGTTCAACAAGGAGATTTTGACTTATTTGTTTCTTGAGCGTTGTTTTGGTTGTTAGTCTACAAAATTTGATGTTGTTGGGTAATTGTACCTTTAGACTTGATTGAAGTATACTTCTGCATGAAGATGCACAGGTGTTAAGGTTTATTTGGTTTATGATGGTGTTTTGAAGACATTACACTGTTTTGATAACTCGTGGGATTTGTACATGCTTTTGTTGAAGTAATTTTGGATCTTACTAACTTGAAAGTTAATGGTTTTTTTTTTTTTTTTGGGGGGGGGGGGTACTGGTAAGATATACATGAATCTAGTCTTTTTTGCCCTTGATGGAGTTATATGTGTGTACCTTTTTTTTGTTTATTGGAAAGATTTTGTATGAATTCAAATGATGTACTAAATGTTATATTGTTGTGTACTTGTTTAGTATACCTGAAAATTAGTTTTGGCCATCTTGGTGTATACTTTTGTTCTCACTAATCAAACAATCTATGCACATAGATTTATGTGGGTTGTTATAAAGTAGTTTGAGCATTTATGTACTGAATAAATAGTAAGGTAGTAATTTATTTGTTTGAGGTTGATTATGGAATATTTGTGACAGGGATGAGAAATGTTTCTACTTAATTGCAACGTATTAAAACTGTGAAAATAGGCAAATATTTGAATTTTGAAGTTCACTCTTTTGGATCTATTGACTGTTTTACTCCCACAAAGACATGCTATAATTCAATATTTTTTAGTGCTCAACCTCCATATATAGGTAATTGTAGAGTTGGTTATTTTGGCAATGATCTTATAGAATGTGAGACCATAGATAACTCTAATTAGTTTCTAAAAGGATGGTTCATCAGTTTTAATTTGCATTATGATGTTGTTCTTGTTGTTTCTGATATTAAACTTTCTGTGCATCATTGGTCATTTTCCTAGTGATTTTAATTACCTACTTTTTAAGTTTTAATTATTTCATTACATGTTTGACTACCTCTTGTTTAGGGTACCATTTTCGGCATTAGTTGGTTCTTGATTTCATTTAAATTTTATTCTTTTGTAGTGATTCATGAACCAGATGGGCCAACACCATATTCTCAATATGAACATTCATCCATTCCTGCTACAGTAAAGAAGCTTTTCAATTTAAAATCCAATTTCTTGACAAAGAGAGATGCATGGGCTGGTACCTTTGAAAAATACTTTAACATTCGTGATACCCCTCGGGATGATTGTCCAGGTTTGCATCTACTTCCTAGATTGTTGCATCTGACAACAAAATTTGGAAATAAATGCTTGTTGAACCACTTTAGATTATATGCTTTAATTGTCTTAAAAATTGGTTCATCATAAAAAATTAACTTAAAATTGGTATTGAAATATTGGTCTGGATTTTGTCCCCCCACCCCATTATAATCTATCTATCTAGATTGGTGACCAAATAGACTCTTGAAGTTTCCATCCATGGCAATAACTTTGATATAGACCTGAATCAGTCTTAGAAATTTCCTATCTCTTACTAACTGCAATAAGAAAAAATATGTAAGTTTCCACTTTTGTCACCTTCCAAAAGGCATCTTTGGAAGTATATTGAAACACCAATGGTGCAATCATATGCATATAAAGGTCCAAAACATAAAATCCAAAGTTTTTCGTTTGTCATTTTCTATCTAGAGCCGTTTGATGCTTCCATCATTATTATGTTTTAACATCTGGTTTTTTTATTGTGTCCTAAAAGACACAATAAAAAACCGTTTAACATTATTTCTAATATGTTTTTATAGAAACACTTCCTGAAATCAAGACACTAAGGCCATCTGGACCAAGAGAAGATTCAAGTCTCTCAGAATTCCAAATAGAATTGATCCAGCTTGCATCTCAACTCAATGGTGACTATGTACTAAACTCTTATCCTAACATTGGTAAAAGAATGACAGTGGGAGAAGCAAACAAGTATGCAGAAGATGCAGTGAAGAGGTTCCTTGAAGCTGGCAGAGCTGCTCTTAAAGCTGGAGCTAATGACTCAGCCATTGTCACAATGAGGCCTTCCCTCACTAGCAGAGTTGCTATGGGAGAAAACCGCAAAAATGTGGAATCTTACTGATTCTTTTACTATACGAGTTGTAAATATGGCATATATATATGTTTAGCATATTCCATATTAAATTTAAGAAAGAAATACAAGAGTTCTTAGTAAAAATAATTTCGGTTCAAGAACAATTAAGACTTGATTAATCACCACTTGTTGGGGTTGATTGTTCTTAAATTGAAATGAATTTTACTAAGAATTGTATTTCTTAAATTTATACCACGTGCCCCAGAAAGGGTTAACAAAAAAAGAAAATTCTAGAAATATTTATAGTACTTCCTAGATATTTGGCTTTTGAAAGAAACAATATGTATTATGTGTACTGTTATCTTGTATGATAATGTTCTTAGTTAGGAAGAAATGTACTGCTTTATATATTTTTTATGTCACCTTCTTTGTCTTTACTTATTTTCAAATAATTAATTATTTTGTGTAGTTCTTTGGCTTTTGAATGATGTATCTTTTTTTTTTTATAACATAAACCTTAATGTATAGGTTGTTCTTTTTAACTTACGGGAAATGTAAATATTTTTTTAAAATATGTTATTATCTTAAAATAATTTACATGCATTTCGTTTTAGTTCAAAAAGTATTTCTTTCTGCAAAAAGGGATAAGCAAATGGGCTTAAATTATTGAAATTTAAATTTGGCGGAATTAAAATAACAAAAATAACCAGCTAGGTTATTTCTGCATTGTGCTAGTTTTTTCAATTTAACACTATATTTAACACTAATTAAATATAGTGTTAAATATTATTATACAGTAAAACATTATTCTACCATAATAAATACAGTTAAATCTACGATAAAATGATCAATAAATTTTTTTAATAATATTGTTTAAATTAATTAAATATTACATTTAATAAATATAATATTAAATATTATTATACCGTAATAAATACAGTCAAATCTAAAATAAGAGATACATATTAAATTATTTTTTAGTAATGTCATTTAAATTAATTATATATTACACTTGAAAAATATAGTGTTAAATATTATTATACCCTAATAAATACAGTCAAATTTAAGATAAGAGATTCATATTGAATAATTTTTTTAGTAATATTATTTAACTCAATTGTGTATTACACTTAATAAACATAATGTTAAATTTTATTATACAATAAAATATTATTAGACCGTAATAAAAACAGTCAAATCTGAGATAAGAAATTTATATTGAATAAAATTTTTAAAAATATTATTTAAATTTATTTTATATTACACCTAATAAATATAGTGTTAAATATTATTATACAGTAAAATATTATTATACTGTAATAAACAGTCAAATTTAAAATAAGAAAATCTTATTGAATAATTTTTTAATAATATTATTTAAATTAATTGAATATTCCACTTAATATATATAATTTTAAATATTGTTATATAGTAAAATTTAATATGTACTTTTAATTTAGTGAAAATAGTTTCAATTGTAATTGCTAATGTTAAAATTTATAATATTAAAAGTGAAGAAAGTAATACTTTAGGGGAAATGTTAACCGATGCCTTAAGAGTATTGAATAAAAAATTTATAATATTTTGGATAGAAAATATAAAAATAATTTTATTAATAACTTATTCTAATATTTTTTTATTATATTTTTTTAGTGAATCTCAATATAATTTTGAAAATTATTAGCTTTTAATCAATACCTTTAAAATATAATTTAGTAAACTCATATTTTTAATTTTTAATTTCTTCATTAATACAAATTTAAAAATTGTCTCATGTTTTAAAGAATTCGAACTATTGACTTCAATGCACTTACACCTCTATAAGTAGGTTTCAGAAACACCGTTCTGTGTCACCGAAAAGAGAGAAAATAATTATTCAGATAATCACTGTAAAAGCAAAAAGGCATAAAATGCCGAAAGCTTTGTTATTTTCTTGCATGGCTGTTTTATTTCTCATTGCATCTGCTTCAGGTATTGCTCTCTCTCTCTCTCTCTCTCTCTATATATATATATATATATATATATATAATTCTCTCTCTGAGCCCCAAACATCTGATTAATGTTCTGTTAACGGTGATGAAATAGATAAACCAGAAGCTGGCGCAGGTGATCCGTGCCGGAGCGACGATGAATGTCTTGATATACATTGCTCGATTTACATTCTCAATTGTTACCCGGCTTGCAAAACAAGCATATGTACTTGCGTGTGTTATCCACCTCAAGAAAATGTCTGATAACTGTAATAAAATAAAGAGGCTTTACTGTATGATTACAAAATAAGATGTCAAAACTCAATGCCTCATCATGAACTTGTCATCTGTATTAAGAGGTCGATCACAATAAAGATTTTGTTTATTTTGCTTTCTTTATGTTGTTTATTAAAATCCATATCACATTAATCTATCATTGAAATTTTGGATACGTGTTATGAATATTTCTTTTTCTAATTACTCATTGTCTTAAAAAGATTATTAGTTTGCTATTCTAGCAGTTATTTTTCACCAACTTTCAAAACTCAATTGTTAAGTTTTGTGTCAAAAAATTTATCTTACACAAAGATTGTGTATGAGCATTTCACATTTATAAATTTTAAATTTTTTATAAATATATTATGTAAATATTTTACATTATATTTTTATTATAAATTATTATATCAATAAAAATAATTGATTTTTATGATAATTAACACAAAATTATATTTTTGAATAATTATCTTTCAATTCTACATAATTAACATTATAAAAATATTTACACTTTCAGTTCTTTAAAATTAAACTCTAAATATTAATAACTAACAATATTTTGAATAACCTATTAAGAGTTTTAATAGTCAACATTTTCGTTAATTAAGTAAATTTGACTCATTTTTCTCTAACTTAAATTTATAGAAATATCCTTTTAAAAGTGTTCGTAAAAATTTGGCAAGAACTTAATTGATTATTTGTGCAAAACAAATTGGACTCAATATGCATAAATTTCATAGAAATAATGTGGTGCTTTAATTAAAAGATTATACATATTATATTAGAACACGATTCTTTTTTTTTCCTATTTTAAATTATTTTATAAATCAGTTGAATTAAATAATAAATAAACCGTGTGTAGTTTTCATTCTTAGAACTAGCTCGATTATTTTAAAAACAAAATTTGAAAATATTTTGAATGAATTTTTAATCTATTACTTTATTTAGAGTTAATAAAATGAGTACACTAACCCAAAATTATTTAATAAAATATTCAAATTAAATTTAACTCGTTTTACTCAACTTGAAAACTACTAAAAAATATCAAAGAATTTTCAAATTTGTAGATTATTTTACGAGTTCAAATTAAATTAAAACTTTGTTTAATTTTTTTTAATTATTGCTATTAATCGGCCAATGCAAATGGACCTAGTATTCTATTTTAATAACTCTAATTTAATGGATTGACTGAGGCATATATACTAAACTAAAAAGACTTAGTTAATATATGCATTTTCTGTATACAGTAAACAAATAAAACAAATTTTTATCGCTCAGACCTTAGGATTTGGACTATATTTCTCAATGAAAGAAGAAAATGCCTCTTCTCATTGCTCTACGAAAAATATCATATATATATATATATATATATATAGATAAATAAAAAAATGTAAATACAAATAAATTGGTTGAATTATAATCAACCATGATTAAATTTTAAATAGTGTGTGTAATTTATTTGCTTATATGTGTGTGCTTTTTAAAGAAATAATTTGAATACACATAATAAATATTATTAATAATATTCTTTAAATTAGTTGTATATTTTACTTAATAAATAGAGTTAAACATTCTTGTACTGTAAAATTTATTTATATGTACATATTTAATATGCACTTTTTAATTAATTGAAAAAAGTTCAAATTACGTAATATTTTTTTTTATAAATTAATGATAAATATCTTGTACATTATACGAGTATAGTTTTAGGTGTTTTTAATTTAAATTCTAATTTTTATATTATCATTATTTTGAATTCTTACTCTATGTGAGAATTTTTAATATTAAGTTATGTGATTTCTTCAGCTTTGAATATCCAACTTTTACTGTTTATTTCTTTTAAATAGTATTACGTATATTTAATTAATTCTATATCTACATGTTAATATTCACATTCCATACCCAAATCTATATCTATTTAATGATAGAACTTTCTTTTCATTGTATATAACATATACTTATTGAATCTTCAGTTGTAATTCCTACGGTCAAAATAGAAAAAAGTTAAAAATAAAAATATTTGTTAACACTAACTTTTCATATTTTTATTTTTTATTTATCTTCTAAGATTATTAACTCACAGATTAAAAAATATTAATAATATCTTAATTTGTTTTAATAATATTCAAAATTTCTTAATACGTTTTTATTTCATTCAATTATTTATTTATTTATTTATTTTAATACTTTTCTATGTACCGCTATTTCTCTCTCTTTTTCTCTGTATCTCTATAAAAAGTATGTAAATTAATTTAAAATAAGTAAAAGTATCAATTAAATTATCTTGTATGTTTAGATGAATAATATTGTTTTTTTTTAAATCTATTAAAAAAATAGAAGAAGTAATACTTTGAAGTAAATTTAATATTTTGTTTAAGAATTTCAAAAGAAAGAGAATGAAAGAATTCAAAAGATAAGAAAAAAGAAAAGAAAAGGAAGAACAAGAATAAATAATATAAATATCTTTAAAATGAAGGAACATAAGAAGATAAGATAAAGAAGGTTTAAAAAACTTTATTTTGTGTAAAAACTTTTAAGTAAGAATAGTCATTAAATAACTTTTATTCTTTCTTTTTTTTTTCCCAAGAAAATTAACTCTGAGGCAGAGTCTAAATTGATTGGATAAAAATAAAAAAATAAAAAAAATTTATATTAATTTGTTAAATATTTTCTTACAAGCATTATATTTATTTGTATCTTAATGTAATTTAAAAAATGTTACTAAAATATAAAAGAATTACTATTTTTAATAAGCACCTGTAAAATATAATTTAGTAAGACTCAATTTTTAATCTTTAATTTATTCATCAATGTAAAATTCGAAAACCGTGTTGTGTATATCTCAAAAAATCCGATTTCAATGTACTTCCCTTTTATAAACATGCCTCATCTTTATTGATTAAAAATAGAATTTTATTCTAATAAAATTTATATTTAATGCTATCACAGCTTATTAAAGAAAAATTTTAAATGTCATTAATAAATAAATAAACTAAAAATATTTAAAAAATGGCACTTACATTTTATTTTTTATAAATTTTAAAAATAATTTATTATTATGAAAATTAATGCACTTACTTACACCTTTATAAATAAGCCTGAGAAACACCTTTCTGTACCACCCATCAGAGAAAAAATATTAGTAAGAAAATCACTCTGAAAGCAGAGGCATAAAAATGGAGAAAGCTTTGTTGTTATTTTCTTGCTTGACATTTTTGCTATTAATTTCATCTGGATCAGGTATTGCTTTCTCTCTTCACTCTTCTTTCCATGTGAGTTTTTAGCAACAAAGTGTGCATAAAATCTTTTAAAGTGTACTTAAGAATATCCAATAATTAATAAGTATTATTTTTATTAAAATTACAATATTCAATATATTAAATCTTATAATAATGTATAAATTTTAATAAAAACTATATTGTATACGCAAGATCTTATTTAATATATTCGAATATATGTTAAAAAAATCAATGATTATTGGTTATAGGATCTTGCATATGTTTTATATTTAACTTGATTATGTGATTAAGGTTTGAATGAAGCTGAAGAAAAAGGCATAGCAGCAAGTGTTCCAGCTCGTTCGTGCAACGCTGATCTAGATTGTGTTGGTTTAAGTTGCCCTGTTCCAGGTCGTTGTGATCGCTTTTGCGTCGATAAACAATGTATATGTGCATGTTCTCCTCCTAAATGAACTCTTTCATAATCATAATAAAATAAAGAGATTTTACTGTTATTCAAAACTAAGATGTAAAATTTCAATGTCTCTGGAATTTATTATCTGTATTAAGAAGTTGAAATGTTGAGATAACACCTTCGATTGTCCACAACATATTTTGTCTTAGCATTTGAGAATTTATTTTGCTTTTCTTTTTTCTCTGTATGTTGTCCCTAAAGTTTAATACATATTTTGATACACAATTTAAATGAATATTTATTTAATAAATTGTTTTTAAATAAAAACTAACGTTATAGATTATAGTTCACAACATCGATCGTATTGATAGATTAGTCCAATTATAATAATAATAAAAAAAAGACTTGGATATTAAATTTAAATTAATAACTTTATATTTGACCATAAAATTCATTTAAATAAGTTTAAAAAAGGTTATTTTAATGAGCAACTGTTATATCAATAAATTTATTAAAATAAATTTAATAAGTTATATTATAAACTATATTTATAAATTGATTATAAACTCTTCTTTAAATATTAATTAGTTGAATGAGTCTTCATAGTAAAAAAAAATCATTAATGAGATAAATAAAAATATAATAAAAAGGATAAATTATGTTACTCTTCTTTGAGATAGTCAAATTATATATCTCATTGTTTTTTTAAATATTAAAATTCTCAAAATGAGAAAGGAAATTCCATTTCTTAAAAATTAACGTTAATAATAATAATAATAATAATAATTTAAAATTAGCTGTTGGTGGAAAAAATTCAACTTAAATGTAGTTCATGATAATAAATTTTTAAGGAAAATATATAAGTACAAAAAAAAGATGAGTTATAAATTAGCACAAGTCTATGAGCAAAAAATTTACTAATATAAATTAATAATACTCTAGAGTTCAGTTTCAGTGCCAATCCAAACATATGCCAAAGGTTTATGCCCTAAAAATTTAATCATACCCACCAAATAATATATGTTCCCATTTCTATATGCTCCACTTCACCCTCACTCATGGAGGTTTCATGGAAACAAAGTGTCACTTATTCCATCAATGTAATCTACCTTCTCTTCTCAGCCTACGCTGTCTTCTACATTCTCTTCTCAGCGTACGTTGTCTTTTTAATGCAGATTGGCTTTGCCATGATATATGCAGGCTCTGTGCGTGCCAAAAATGCCATGAACATAATGCTCACCAATGTAGTTGATGCAGTGGTTGGTAGCATCTCCTTCTATCTTTTTGGTTTTACATCTGCATATGGCAATTCCATCCCCTTGGCACTAAAAATGAACTATGATGATCCATTAGAGGCAGCCCAATTGCATGGTGGGTGTGGTACATGGAGTTTGTTTGTTTGTTTGCCAAAGGGATGTTTGTGATCCAAGCCTATAATTCAGGAGAGAAAGGGGTGGCAAGACCCTATGGGCTGGATTGATTGGACTCCAAGTGATTGAGATCTTGGTAATCTTGGGATGAGCAAGTGTAACAATGGGCCTTATTTTCTATGCCTTGCCCAAGCTTGATACTCTGAGAATTCCTGTAGATGAGCAAATTGCTAGGCTTGATATCTCAAGCCAAGGAGGTTATGCTTATGCTCCCCAAGAAGATAGTTATTCTTGGCCTTATTATGTAGATTATATGCCTATTAAGCATGGCCAATTATAGTCTGATTTTATAGTTACATGTTAATATTTTGTAATATGTAGAAACAATTAAATTTTGTGCCTTTAATTTGAGTAGCACTACATTTATTTGGTTCACTCATTTTGGATGAGGGCAAGGGAGCACAACAAAACAAAATGGGCATTAAAATCAAAGTTGGGTCCAATGAGGGGCAGTTTTACTTGCGGTTGAGCTATACTTAAAAAATCATAAAAATATCATGAAAGAGAATCTTGTCAAGTGGGTGGAACCCACACATCGGATAGACTTGATTGTCACTTCCACATCATTTTGTACACTTAATTGATAATGGATGTGCCATTGACTAGTTGGGGCGCAAGTACAAATCATGGTTGGATCAAAATTGCCATTCATTCATAAAATAAAACTAGGTTCATTATTATAACTGAATAACCAAAATCACCGTGTGGTTGGGAACAAAAGACTACTGGAATTTGGAACTCTTAGCTTGGGTTAGACATATTCCACCCATTTGAAGCCTATTGGAGCAAGACAGTAAGATATATACAAATAAAATCATGGTCTAAAATGCATGTATAACTAATTATTAGCATACACACTGTATCCAAAACCTGTAGGTAACCCTCACCTAAGAAAAGGATCAAAGGACACATGTCTGGGATCTGGAACAATCAGAGGCAACTTCTCTATGTACAGATACAGCATCTTACAATTCTCTTTGAAAATTGTTTCAACATCAACAATATCACTTATGTCTGTGTAAATCCAAAGGTCACCAGAGTTGACTCTCTTCAGGCTATCCCGGCAAAAGGGGCAAGACAGAGACCTCAGACACCTTAATCAACAAACACCGTTGTCATGACTAAACAATAACCAGAGAACAACAAACTTATAATTACTGCCTCATATTCTGATGACAAGATCAAATATAACAATGAACAAGTATGAGAAGTAAACAAATTTTGAGTGGTGGAAACTTCCACTTCAGAAACTTCAAAATTAATGGTTTTGCTTTTGATAAGGTAAAATTGATCAGATAAATTTATAAGAACGACTCAACTTTTTCATCGACAATGATTCGGTCTTCAAAAAGTTGGATCAAGAATTCAGGATTCTCACCTTTAAAGGACTAATCCTACCACCATTTTGACCTATAAGATTTTCTAATTGATATCAAAGATGCGATAAGTGGCAAAAGATCAGTTGTTAATATCATTTATGTGATTAACAAGACCATCCCGGTAAAGGAGAGGATCATGATTTCAATAGTTAATTATAAATTTAGAAACACACAAATATTTACCTACCACAAATCACACACGGGAGAAAGACATGCTCTCTTTCTCTCTTTAATCTGATAAGTTTCATTTATATGTTGAATAACAGACTAAGAAAAGCATATTGCCAACATCACAACTCCAATAACCAAAAGGATGTCCAAAAAGAAACTTGGTTTTGTGCAAAAAGTATGATCAGCATAATATTAAAAAAATAACTGGAAAGAATCTAAGAATAATGAGATAATGAAATGAGGTAATAGAAGCACAATCAAGGAAATTTACCAATCTCTGTAGCACTCCAAACACATATAGTGGCAGCAATTAGGCAGCACAACTTTTGCTTTCACCTCCAAGCAAACTCCACATTCCTCTTCCCTTTCAATGTCAATTTCAGATTGTCTTCTATCTCTGAACTCGCTCCTCCTTTGATATCTAAGAGCATATACTTCTTTCTGTTTCCTTTCCTCCAAATCTGTGATGCCTTTCTGAAGTTGCAATAAAGCAGGAAATATAACCGCTGTTTATCAGCAAAAGTGAAAAACAAAAAAAATATGTGAATTATATGTTAATCATCAAGCACATAAGAAATGAATCCAGTTGCACCCTAAAAGCAATGAGCATACATTCATCTTTACTACATTTAACTTACTGTAAAATTGTCTAATGGTTGCTCTCCTTTCATATATTGACATAGTATTGTTCCCATTTCCATAAGTCTGCATTCATGTAGAAGGATTAAATCTACAAACAGATTATGACAATTTAAGAACAAAAAATGGTAAATTAGAATAGAAACAAATGAAGAAAATAAAACTAAAGTTGAAGATTGTTTTAACCTTTATAAGACTCTTATTTGGCTATATCTGTAGTCAACATAAAGACTTCAACAGAGTCTTACATACATACCACATAAATTAGAATTCTCAGCAAACCCAGGGCACCGGCCAGGCGGTAATCTGTCCACTGAACAAGAAAGAGAAAAATGGGAGCTGCTGGACTATATGATAGCCTCATCTGAAAGCATCCTCCATCTTTATCCCTTGGATGGCCTAATGCCCTAACAATGAGATAAGAGCAAAGAGGGAAAAAAGAAAGGTAATTAAGTACAATTTCCCATGATAAAAAATGCTAAACTCAGCTAAGAGAATTTGTATGAAAGACCCCAGCATAAACATGTCAATGAAGTGTTGAATATTGAAAAATATTATCCAATTTCAATTTTCCAACAAGAAAACTGAGAGTATAATACAAATTCATTGGTTGCAGTTCATCAATGATCCCCCTCTTACTTAAAACAATTCCCTCAGCTTCAAAGTTCCACTATACCTCAAGAAAAACATGATATAATTCAGCTCCAAATAACAAAATTTGACCACACAACATGAAAACAACATTTATTTACATAGATTATGCAGAATGACACAAGGCTAAAATGCATAATGGGTATAAAAAAAATTCAATTTTTGAAAATCAAGTAAAAAATTCTAGTGATGCATCATGTTCCAAACTTCAAGAGCATAACAGACCCTCAATTCTTCCAGAGAAAAAGATTCAATTTTCAATCTGGGAATAGCTGAAGTACACATTATATGCTAATGAAGCTGAATTCTCATTCAAAAAACTACCCAATAAAAAGATATAAGAAGAGAGAGACATACAGGGTATTAGCATACTGAATATCAGCTTCCAGAGCTTTTAGAGAGTCCTGAAAGGAACACTTTCCCATACCCAAATATTTTCCCGGAAAAATTTTCTGCATGCAGTTGAGAAAAATCCCTTAAAGCCAAATATTAATATATAGGATTGTATATGATGATTGTACATGGCACTATCACAGTCACCCCGAGAAAATTTAGCTAATGGTATTGATAAGCGGGTTACCTAATTCGAGAGTGGATTTCAATATATTTAGAGACGATTTTGCCCCTTAATTTTTCCGAAAAAACAAAGAAAAACTAAACACACCCTAAAGTGATCAATAAGGAGGGACCCCTTTTGTTCAATTTTATTATAAATTTTTGATTTTAGAGTATCGAGTTGTTTAAGGAGGACCCGCATTGAATAAATCTTCTCTGGATAAGATTATGGGAAACCGGTACGTTAGATTTTTTTAATATGAAAACATCTCTATAATAGCATCAAGCGAGAGATTCTTTCCTGATTTTCGGAAATCTTCTATGAGAAAAATAAATATAAAAGTTTTTATGTGTTTATTAAACTAAAAAATGACTAAAATTATTTTTATATATTTGTTAAATTTTATTATGAAACATAAAATAAATATATTATTATTTATATTCTCTTCTTTTCATTAAAACTATGAGGAAATATAAAATATTATTGGTTAGGGTCATGAATGAATCTGAACTACTTTGTATCATTCTACTGACTGTTACTGTACCCGATGGTGGCGCCAGCAAGTTTGGCTGAAACGGGTAGCATGTGGAAAGACAATTATACCCAATAACTACTGCAATTTGTGCAAATTGGTTAATATTAATAAAAAAAAGAATTGATAAGTCTGACTTTACGTTTGTTTAATTTAAAAAAAATATTTATATAGATAAAAATTATAATTTTTTAAATAATTATTAACTGATTAATCAATAAAAATTGATAAATTTAACTTAACTTTGTTTACTTTAAAAAATATATTTTATATAGATAAAAATTATAAAAATATTTTTTTATTATTTAAGAGATTTATACAAAATATTTAAAGTGATAAAAATATACCGAATTTAACTTTTAATAACACTTAAAAATAGTAGTTGTTTTAAAGAAAATATTGTTGGTGTGGAAGCATGTTAAAGTGATTGTATTATAAATTCATCTATTGAATAAAAATATTTATATTTAAATTCTTTATTCAATACAAACATTTTTTAAATAACTAGTAACTATGAATTATACCAAACTATTCTTCATTTTTTTAAGTAGTGCACAATATAATAATATAATTATTATTTAAAAGTGACTTTAAAGAGTGATTATATAAGTACTCTTAAAATTTAAAATTTTAATAACTTTTAATTTATAAACTTACTCAAAGATAAAATGAATCTCTTCTTTTGCATCTTTCTTGCGCTAATAAGGTGAATCTCTTCCATAATTATAAGTACTATATCTTTCTATTCTCTTTTTTTTTTCTATTATGGATAAAGTCTCCTATTATATTGATCTTTTTTTTTAATTTATTATTATTTCATTCATTTAAATATATACTATTTAGTTAACACGCAACATACAACTGTTCTAATGAGGTAAAAAAAATTGATTTTAATTTGTGATAAATTTTTTTTATAAATACATAAATTTAAAATTTTAGACATATAAATTCAAGTTTAAATATAATAATAAATTAATTTTGATTTATAATAAAAAATTATAAAGATGAAAATTTTAAATTTGTAATTCTTATTTTGGAGATGGTTATAAAAATATATATTTACTCTGAATCAAAGTGCTTGTAGTATCATTTTGAATTACTTTTTAAAACAATGCAAAATTATTCATTATTGTTTTTTTATTGTAGTGTTACAAAGGGAAGTTAAATTTATAAAATTTTATATTAAACTAAAAAACAAGCAAGACACATATTTACAACTAACTACATGCATTTTTTTTGTCATCAATTAAACAAAATTTAATGAATGAAAGATAAATAAAGTAAATAAGTTAATAATATATAAAACATGATTCTTCTGAATTGCAATTCAAAACATTTGTTTTATAAAACAATCTCAATATCCTTTCAATATATATGTTACAGATGATAAATTGTAGAGTCGTTTTTAAGTGACATTTATGATTAAGTGAAAGTAAATTTAGTATTACCTCCGATTCTTTTTATAAGAAACAAAAGATTAAATCTCTAGGAACAAGAAAAACAATTAAGTCACTTATGTTTTTCATAAATATAAACTTTATTTTAAAAATACCCATGATTCTTAAATCTATCATTTGTTTCTTATAATAAGGATCAAAGAAATGCTCTATTTGTTTTCTTATAAAAAGTACCAGAAGAAGTATAAAAGCTCTTAAAATTAAAAACATGTCCTGTAGAGTAGAATAAAAGTAAATATCTTAAAAAAATACTTTAATAAAAGTGGATTCAATATCTTTAATGAATGACATAAATAAAAGGACAAGAAACATGCTTCTAGTAATGGAGGACAACGAAGAATCATAGTAGAAAAGACAGGACACAAAAAGAAATGTTTTATTTTGTTTCTTATAAAAAGTACTAGAAGGAGTATAAAAGTTCTTGAAATTAAAAACATGTCTCATAGAGTAGAATAAAAGTAAATATCTTTAAACAAAACACTTTAATGACAATGGATTCAATATCTTTAATGAATGACATAAATAAAAGGACAAGAAACATACTTCTAGTAACAGAGGACAATGAAGAATCATAGTAACAAAGATAAGACATAAAGAAATGCTCTATTTTATTTTTTATAAAAAGTACTAGAAGGAGTATAAAAGTTCTTGAAATTAAAAACATGTCTTATAGAGTAGAATAAAAGTAAATATCTTCAATCAAAACACTTTAATGAAAGTGAATTCAATATCTTTAATGAATGACACAAATAAAAAGGACAAGAAACATGCTTTTAGTAATGGTGGGCTTGTTTTTTTTTGGATATGTAAAATATATATTATTAGAGAGAGTTTAAAGGGAACTCAAAAGCCATATACATAAAAAAAATTACTTACTCAAAGAAATAAAAAATAAAAATATATTTATACAAAGTTAAGACGGGTACAATTTCGTGGGTTCAAATACTAATCAGCTAACAAAATAGCTTCTCCCTTACTAACAAGTGATAGTCATTTCTAGGACCTCAGAATAATAGAATTTAGGACTTTTCTCTCATCCAAAACACCATTGGAAAACACAATTCTATTTCTATGTAATTACAAAGAACACACTGTACTTACCTAAACAATTAATAAGCATATCTCTTCTCTTTTACTACAGCCAACACCAACTCAAGAAAGCAAGTGAGTCGATAAATCTGAAGGCAAAATTAATGAAAATCCAAACCAACGTGCAATAAAGTACTAGATTTGAGATAAAACTGAGCACGTTAAAAATAAATGAGTTGGAAGTTTCTCCAAATCATGATAGAAGCAACAAGTTATATCATCAATTTGAACACCACGATCAATCATCAAACCTTTACAAGGAAGTGCATTCAACAACAATTACCAAGAAAATACTAGATACTTAAGATGGACTTTCCCTCTGCATAGCCTTTGCAAGGCATCTGCCATACATTGATCTACACTATTAGGACCACCAAAAAGTTCAAACAGTTATGAATAAGCAGATTGCACTGAATAATAACCTGAAGAATCTGCCCTCCATACCCATTTATCTTTTTGAAATAACTTAATAGAAACCCCATCCGCAAACTCAAATAAAAGATTAAAGCTTGATATCTCATGTTGAAAGAGTCCTCTTCGCCAACTAATATCCCAAACTCATCTAGTGCTATCATGAAAACTATTCTCCAATACACATGATTTAGCATCCCTTGCCACTGTAAACAATCGCGGAAATGTTTTACACAATCGCACTCCGACTATCTACTTATCTTTCTAAAAAATAGTGTGTAAACCTACACCCACACTCCTATCAAACTTCTCATCCAATCATAAATTCTCTTGATGAATAATCTCCAGCAAATCATAAATCATTTGCACGGGGCTTCAAATGTTGAAGGGTGGAAGAAGATGGACCGGACCTTCAAATGACTGCACTGTCGAGGTTGCCTACACAAAGCGTCTCAACTTGGCGTTGCTGAGGAAGTCATCTTCAGCCGAATCCAACTCATTGGATTCTGGGAACAAGAAAGGCAAAGCTATGGAACAAGTTGATGTTAGAAAGTTGGATCGCTTCAATCTTGATTCGAGAATACCTTGTCAAGTAAGCTTTGGCACGTATGAACAAGACAATTACAAGCTTCTTTCTGCCATTACAGAACGCTTCAACAGGTATATAATATAAACATTTTTTCATCTTCAGATCTTGTGTATATTAATTCATTTTTTTAGGAATACATGTCCGTTTTTTTTAAGAACATATTTTTAGCGTAATTTTTTGTGTTTTTAATAATTACTTGTTTGGTTGAATGAAAAAGGGTTGGATTAGAGGTGCCAAGTATCGAGGTGAGATACAAAAACTTGACGGTTGGAGCTGATGTTCAGCTAGGTCAAGAGCTCTCCCAACTCTGCTCAATTACATGCGAGATGGCTTTGAGGTTCATACCTATTACCTACTCTAAAACACTCTAATACCTTCAACAAAAACACTTGGAGACTCAAAATTACTAATCAAAATAATTTCATTAAAAATATTGATTGTATAAGCTTATTTGTTTATTGATATTAATTCATTTACATATAATACAATTTGTTTAATGTGTGCTCAAGAGCGCACAATAAAAACTTATTTATAATAATTTTTGTTATAAAAAAATTGCTAAGTATAATATAATTGATGTATAAATAACCTTAAATATTACAAATTTTAATAAAATTTACTTTTCATTTAATTTTTTATAATGTGTCCTGGTACACATTTTAAAAAATTCGTATGTTGACGTCCAGAGTATGCTTAATGGCTTGGGGATAAGTCGACCTAAGAGACATTCCTTGACCATCTTAAATGACATCAGTGGCACTATCAAACCTGGAAGGTATTATTATTAATTTTTTGGTTAATTTAAATTATTTATTTTCTTTATTGAGGCCATCAGTTGGTGAAAATGAAATATACTAATCTAGTTCCATTATATATATGCTTGTGTAGGAATAAACAAAACCAAAGCATTTAGTATAGCTAGACATTTACAACGGGCTAGTGAATTGAATCAATTAATTTTTAATTAGTATAATAATGAATGAAAGGTATACTATTTTAATGTGTAATTTTATGCATGTGTTTTTATATTGAAATGAATAGTAAAGTTAACGTTATCTGTTGTTGCATAGGATGACGTTGCTCCTAAGACCTCTAAGCTAAGGCAAAACTACCTTGCTTTTGGCTCTTGTGGGAAAGCTTGATGCAACCTCAAGGTAGTACAAACCCTATGCAGGATTACACAAACCCTTTGTACAATCACTATACATTTGTAATTTCTTATGTTTTTATTTTGTGAAGTGTTATAGTTACATTTTGGTTCTTTGAAATAACTATTAAACTATTATGTTGGTAACCTTATTTAGCCAATATTTCTTTAAATAAAAAATTTAGTTATAGCACAATTGCAGGTGATGCCAATGTGCATTAAATCATTATACTAACAGAGAAACAAAAATGTTAGGCATTAAGATTGGTTTTGTTAATAGAACCTTTATTTGTTTGAAATTAGTCTAATTCTGAATTGCATGTATACATAATAAGAATTTACATAAATAGCTCTAGCCTGTTTAATAATTTTGAACCCTAAGCTTGACTTATTACCTATCATAAAATTTTTATTAAATTTAATCTAATCTTTTTAAAAGTTTAATTTAGCTTATTAATCTTTTTAACAGTTTATTTCATATTGAAATATTTAATAAGTCATTAAATTTCTTTGTAAATAAGCTATTAAATTATCTAAATATATATATGTATTTTTAAAAGTCATAAGATTTATATTTAAATAAATTAATAAAAAATAATTCAATACGTTAAATATATATAATAAAATTATATATATTTTTATTTATCACTTTCAAATCACATAAACATAATTGAAATTGAAACAACGCAATATAAATCAGTATTATACATATAGGATATGCAAAAAACTCTAGCAAGTAAAACTCTCTCTTTTAAAAGATATGTAGTAGAGATCTTATTCAATTCTAACAAAAATGATTAGAATTTTTAATTTAAGATTTTATTATTTAATTGATTTAATATATTATTATATTATTTTTATATATAATTATTTAATATATTATTATAAATTTTAAATAGTATATTCTAATAGACTTTTTCTTAAGTTCAAGTCTGATCTATTTAATTAATTAAATTTTTTAAAAAACCTAAATTAAGTCTATTAATTAAATAGGTTAGGTCAGATTAAGTTTTAAAAGGCTAAGCCATAAGCCTTTATCGGACAGCGTGACCCATTTCTATCCCTAATGAAATAGAGAAAAACATGTAAAAAGAATAAAAATATATTTAATTATTAAGAATTAAAATCATATATATATTTTACTTAATTTTTATATATGTCTGCACATAAAAATAAACATAATTTAGATATAGTATTATATTCTAAAATTTAAATTAATAATTTTACATGAGTAATATGTATCAATCTTTAATAAGAAAAAATTATTGCTTAAATTATTTAAATAAATTTTCAATTTCATTAAATAATAAAAACAAAAATTAATTACTTACGACATTTCACCTAATTTCACAAAAATTGTGTTCCACCAAATATATAACATCTGAAGTTATTTATATATGAAAAATCATCTTTAATACATTAAACTTATCGTAATAATTAATAAACCTTTAAAATTTTAATGGTGTAGAAATCTACAATAATATGGTTGATTAACGGTGCTGTCGTTGCGTAAATTTCTAAATATCTTAACATTATCATTGTAATTGCAATTGTAAAATATAATTTAAAAATCCATACATATAAGTTTTTAAAGAAATTTTGGAAGAGGGGCCGAGTGAAACTACTACTTCACAAACATATAAGATAAATTTTGAAACCCCTTTAAGATAAAATAAGAAAAATATTAAATTATTAAATACTAATAAGAAATTTTAAACTTAACCTAGCAAAATAAGAATCTATATCAAAAATAAAGAAAATGAAACTAATTTATTGAAAATTGAATGATTCCTCTGCAAGGTATTTCAGTGTCAATGTTAAGACAATAGAAAATGAGTTTTTGAATAGGTCTAGTGAAAGGGTTTCAGAGTCTTTACTAAGGTAAGTCCAAAAATGTTATGAAAGATTAAATATAATAGAAGGTCTTACAAGTTAACCGAAACTTTTTTTTAGCAGTTTTATCTAGGATGCACCGAAGCAAATTTTTTATGGTCGAGTTCACCTATCAAGTCATGGCTTGTCTAAGGGTCCAGGTCATGAACTCTAACGCAATCATTTTATATTGCATAAGTCACGTTTCACCATCACTGTTGAAGATTCTTTGGCTTAGAAAATCATGGGATGTAGCTTGCCATTATGATCCTTGTGGGTAGTTATTGAGAAGAGTTCAGAGGATGTGTTTGATGTTTTTAGGATGGCTTGTGACGATGTAGAAGCTGTGTTTTTGAGCTAAGAAGGGGAATGGGACGGTGCAAGTTTGTTAAGTGGCTAAACTGCCGATTCGATCTAGGTTTGTGGCAATCCAGTCATGAACCTAGTTTCAGTTCATGAAGAGAAACAAGAGGCTCTTAAGAAAGGGTTATACTCTTAAACCGGTCAAGATTTGAGCTAAAAGTTGAAAACAAAGGAAATATGTGAAAAACATAGCGGTTAGGGTGAAGAAAAGATGGAGCGTTTTCATTTAGACAATGTTTGATGTTACTGTTATTTAGGGTTACTTTGATTAAGTAAATGAGGTTTTGACTCTTGAAGTAATTAAAGGAGAAATTAATGTTCATATATTCATATGATGATATATGTAATGAGAAGAATGGGTTTACGAAAGGTGGGTGGGAATCCTTTTAGAGTGGGTGTTAAGTTGATACAGGAAGTGTACATTTATGTTGTGAAGTGCATAAATAATTATACAATATATATATATATATATATATATATATATTACGGGCATGAGTTTTTTTAGTATACGAAATTTTTTTAATGTTTTTTTTTGTGAAAATTAATTGATTAATTAATAAAAAAGTAAATATAAATTTTATTTAGGAAAAAATATTTAAGTGATTACTTAAAAATTTTTACACTTAATGTAAGAAGATCATGTCATATATATATATATATATATATATATTATAATTACTCATAAATTTTTTATGAAAAATACTTTTAAACTAAAGACTTTATATTTATAAACTAATGGTGAGCTTTGAATAAATTGTGGGAAACTTTGTCTTTTAACAAGCTAGACAGCTAAATGTAATTTTTTAATGAAAAAATCTTATTAAAAAAATATTTTCCCGACTAATATTATAATAAACTGTAAAACAATGTGTTCCACAAATACTATACATTTGTCAATGATATAAAAAAAATTGACAAAAACATGCTTCTAGAAATGGAGGACACAAAAGCTAGAGGACAGCAAACAAACTCGGTCATTCCCTGTTAACATGCATCACCTTATGTTACATGGGAGTTCCTACGTATAAATAGCTACACCATGCAAAAGAAAAAAATGTAATTAGTTTTCTTCTTTTTCTTTTCTCTCTGTAGGATTAGAAAATTTTTGTTACCGTTCCTCCGTAAAAACACGGGAGAGAAGAGAAGAAGTAAGAGTAAAATAAGTAATAACAATGGCGGGCTTTAGTGTTGATATGACCTCAGAAATAGGGAGAGAATCATTTGCAAGGGCTTCAAACGCTGAATGGTTAGAAGAAGATGAAGCGGACCTTCAAATGGCTGCACTCTTAAGATTGCCTACACAAAAGCGTCTCAATTTTGCATTGCTTAAGAAGCCACGTACAGTGGATTCCGAAAACAAGATGGACAAAGTTATGGAACAAGTTGATGTCAGAAAGTTGGATCGCGTCAATCGTGAACAACTTGTCAAAGAAGCTTTGGCTACTGATGAACAAGACAATTACAAGCTTCTTTCTGCCATTAAGGAACGCTTCAACAGGTATATGATATAAACATTTTTTTCATCTTTATGTTATATCTATCTATCTATCTATATATATATATATATATATATATATATATATATATTAATTTATTTTCTTTAGGAATACATGTCCCTTTATTTTGAAGAATATATTTTTGGTGTAAATTTTCTTTATCTCTTTGAACATTTTGAGACGATGATGGTTAAAATTTTTTATTCATTTTCTTAACAATTTTATTTGACAAAATTGTAATAAGTGGATGATTTAATTACCATGTGTTTGGTTTTGGGTTTTAATACTAAAAACTATATAATATCTGTTTTAATGACCCCCTTTATTAAGGCTTATTTAATATTACATGCATGAAAGGGTCTATATATGATTCTGCATTTAAATAATTATTTGTTTGGTTGAATGCAAAAGGGTTGGATTAGAGGTGCCAAGTATCGAGGTGAGATACAAAAACTTGACGGTTGGAGCTGATGTTCAGCTTGGTTCAAGAGCTCTGCCAACTCTGCTCAATTACATGCGAGATAGCTTTGAGGTTCATACCTATTACCTACTCTAAAACACTCTAATACCTTCAACAAAAACACTTGGAGACTCAAAATTACTAATCAAAATAATTTCATTAAAAATATTGATTGTATAAGTTTATTTGTTTGTTGATATTAATTCATTTACATATAATACAATTTGTTTAACGTGTGCTCAAGAGCGCACAATAAAAACTTATTTATAATAATTTTTGTTATAAAAAAATTGCAAAGTATAATATAATTGAACGTATAAATAACCTTAAATATTACAAATTTTAATAAAATTTACTTTTCATTTATTTTTTATAATTTTTCCTGGTACACATTTTAAAAAAATGGTATGTTGGCATCCAGAGTATGCTTAATGGCTTGGGGATAAGTCGACCTAAGAGACATTCCTTGACCATCTTAAATGACATCAGTGGCACTATCAAACCTGGAAGGTATTATTATTTTTGGTTAATTTAAATAATTTATTTTCTTCATTGAGGCCATCAGTTGGTGAAAATGAAATATACTAATCTCGTTCCATTATATATATATATATACATATATGCTTGTGTAGGAATAAACAAAACCAAAGCATTTAATACAGCTAAACATTTTCTACGGGCTGGGGAATTGAATCAATTAATTTATAATTAGTATAATAATGAAAGAAAGGTATAATATTTTAATGTGTAATTTTATGCATGTGTTTTTATATTGAAATGAATAGTAAGGTTAATGTTATATATGTGTTGTTGCATAGGATTACGTTGCTCTTAGGACCTCCAGGCTCAGGCAAAACTACCTTACTTTTAGCACTTGCGGGAAAACTTGATAGTAACCTCAAGGTAGTACAAACCCTATGTGCAATTACTTTACATTTGTAATTTCTATTTTTTTTTTGTGAAGTATTATAGTTACTTTTTGGTTCTTTGAAATAAATATTAAACTATTATGTTGGGTAGCCTTATTTAGCCAAGATTTCTTTAAATAAAAAATTTAGTTATAGGACAATTGCAAGAGATGCCAATGTGCATTAAATCATTATACTAACTGGGAAAAAAATGCTAGGCATTAAGATTGGTTTCGTTCATAGAACCTTTATTTGTTTGAAATTAGTCCAATTCTGAATTGCATGCATGGATAACAAGAATTTGACCTGTCGTAGCGTTCTTCAAAATTCAATTCTCATCTTATAATTACATTACACACTTTGTTTCTTGCAGAAAAGTGGTAGCATAACATATAATGGCCATGAGCAAAGGGAGTTTTGTATTCAAAGGGCTTCTGCATACACTAGCCAAACTGATAATCACATTGCAGAATTGACAGTGAGAGAGACTTTTGATTTTGCTAATAGATGTCAAGGTTCAAGTGATGCAGGTATATATATAATATATTAATTTCATTATGTACATTTTTTTTTTCCTTTTCACAATTCAATTGCTTACTTTGTCAGTTCAATTTCATAACAGAGTTTGTGAAAAATCTGGGAAGCTTAGAGAAGGAAAAAAACGTCGTGCCAAGTGCAGAAATTGATGCATTTATGAAGGTTGTATTATCTTAAATAATGTCTGAAAAATCATGCATAAATGCAACTTCAGGGCTGTCCTCTAATGTTGAAATTGATTTTACTCCACAGGCATCGGCTGTTGGTGGCAAAAGGCATAATGTGATGACAGATTATGTTTTGAAAGTGCTTGGTCTTGATGTATGTTCAGACACGGTTGTTGGCAATGAAATGATAAGGGGTGTCTCTGGTGGCCAAAAAAGGAGAGTTACAACAGGTGATCTATGATACATTTGAATCCATATTTGTTCTATGGACATATGAGTTTCTAGATAATGCAAAATTTGATGCATATTTGTTGTGACAATGTCTATACAATAAGATTAACACGTTATGAAGGCACCAATTGAAGTTGAAGTAATGACATGCTATTGCATTTCGTTTTTCTCTTATCCAGGAGAAATGATTGTTGGACCAAGAAAAGCTCTATTTATGGATGAAATATCAACTGGACTTGACAGCTCAACCACATTCCAGATTGTAAAATGCATAAGAAATTTTGTTCATCAAATGGATGCTACTGTGCTTGTGGCTCTTCTTCAGCCTGCACCAGAAACATTTGAGCTCTTTGATGATCTTCTGCTTCTGTCAGATGGGTATGTGGTATATCAAGGCCCCAGAGAAAACGTGTTGGAGTTCTTTGAATCCTTAGGTTTCAAACTTCCACCACGCAAGGGAGTTGCGGATTTTCTTCAAGAGGTATTTGTAGACTTAAGAGTTTTTTTCAACGTTCAAACTCAAATGCTTTATGAAGTTATTACTTAAAAATTGGTATTCTTATTATTTCAGGTGACCTCCAAAAAGGATCAACCTCAATACTGGGCTGATTCTTCCAAGCCATATAAGTTCATTTCTGTACCAGAAATTGCTGAGGCTTTTAAGAATTCCAAGTTTGGAAAGTCTGTAGAATCCATGCAAACTGCTCCCTTTGATAAATCAAAGAGTCATCCTACAGCTTTGCCCAAAACTAGATTTGCTGTGGCAAAATGGGATCTCTTTAAGGCTTGTATGTGCCGAGAATTGACCTTGGTCAACAGGAATAGGTTTCTTTACATTTTTAGGACCTGCCAGGTATATATACAAACTTAATTAATTAATGATGCACTAAAACTTGTTTCTATGCATAGTTTCCAATTCTTTAGAAGTAGATTACATGACAAGTTAGAAAGACTCCATTAATCTTTCAGAAATTAAAAGTAGAGTTCATATTTTAATGTAGATTGTAGACTACCTACAACACCTTTCCCTGCCAATCAATTCAACATGGAAAGCATATAAACAATATGATCATAAGAACTCCTAATGCACATGCTATCTTGATATTACTTTTATAGAACACTTTCACATAGGCTTGTGCCTTGTGAATTTCTTAATTATTGTTTGAAGGAACTTTCTCATTATTTTACATTTGACAATTTCTCATGCTGTTTTAAAGGTTACATTTGTTGGATTCGTCACCTGCACAATGTTCCTACAGACAAGATTCCATGCTAAGAATGAGTCTACTGGAACTCTGTATCAATCTGCATTATTTTTTGCACTGGTGCACATGATGTTTAATGGCTATTCTGAATTATCACTCCTGATATCTCGGTTACCAGTCTTCTACAAACAAAGAGGCAATTTATTTTATCCTGCATGGACATGGTCTTTGTCCACTTGGATTCTTGGAATACCTTATTCGGTTATTGAAGCTGTTATATGGACTTGTGTTACATACTACAGTATTGGATTAGCCCCTGCTCCTGGAAGGCACTTTTCTTTGCATCCTTTGTTATGAAATTTTTTCTTCTTTAAAAAAAATATTCAAGATTCATATTCTTTTCATTTTGAATAATGTTTCAGGTTTTTCCGACACATGGCTTTGCTATTTATGTTACATCAAATGGCTTTAGGTCTCTTCCGATTCATGGCTTCACTTGCACGCGATATGGTTCTTGCTAACACATTTGGTACAGCTGCATTGATGATTGTCTTCTTGTTGGGAGGATTTATTATCCCTAAAGGTAGGCAGCACCAAAAACTATGGAATAAAATGCAGATATAGTACATGCTTTCGAGAAATAATTGCTTATTGTTCAAAAACTCTCTCAAGAAGCTGGCAAAAATAAGCAATTATTTCTTCAAAATAATATGAACTAAAGACATGCATAATGCTATACTGTGGTGAGTGATTTGGTTGTCACTCTCAGGTATGATTAAGCCATGGTGGATTTGGGGTTACTGGGTGTCACCTCTTAGTTATGGACAAAAAGCAATTTCAGTCAATGAATTTACTGCCACAAGGTGGATGAAGGTATTTTAGGCATGCTAATTAAATTTTTATGGCTTTTCTATATTTATTGCTAGTGATTTATAGAAGATTTATGTAATTATGGAAACTTTTTTTTTTTAGGATTCTGCTTTTGGCCAGGGCACAGTTGGTTCCAATATTCTCAAGTTATACAGTTTACCAACTAATGATTATTGGTATTGGATTGGTATGGGAGTTTTAATTGTCTACTCGTTGCTTTTCAACAACTTGGTCACTGTGGCCTTGACCTATCTAAAACGTAAGTTTAGAACAATTTTCCTTGTCATTAGGCAATACAATTTATTTTGATATTTAATGATCTACAAGTGCTGTCCAATGAAAGGAGACCAAATTTTTATGCTCTTTTTGCTTTTGCATGCCAAAGCACTCCAAAAACCAAGAGCACTACTTCTTGATGACGAGGAGGATTCAAATGAAACAGCAAAACTCAAATCAACTAATGATGACAACAAAAACAAGGGAATGATTCTTCCTTTTCAACCTTTGACAATGACATTCCATAATGTCAATTATTTTGTTGATATGCCAAAGGTATGTAGCATTTGTAGTTTCAGTTTCTTGAATACTTTTGAAAAAAACACAAGAAAATAGTTGACTTTTCCATTAACTTGCTTTTCTAGGAGATAGCACAACAAGGTGTAGCAGATACCAAATTGAAGCTCTTGTCAAATGTGAGTGGAGTTTTTGCACCTGGTGTCCTCACAGCATTGATGGGGTCAAGTGGAGCTGGAAAGACCACTTTAATGGATGTTCTTGCAGGAAGGAAAACAGGAGGATACATTGAGGGTGATATTAAAATATCTGGCTATCCAAAAGTGCAACAAACATTTGCCAGAATAGCCGGATATGTTGAACAGAATGATATACATTCTCCTCAGCTCACAGTTGAGGAGTCCCTGTGGTTTTCTGCATCATTAAGGCTTCCAAAGGAAGTAAGCCTTGAAAAGAAGCATGTAAGTTCTTTACTGAACTTGTAATGATAATGAACCATGTTAGTTTGCGCAACTGTAACCAATTCACTCATATATTGTGAAATATTCTGCAGGAATTTGTTGAACAAGTTATGAAACTAGTAGAGCTTGATAGTTTAAGACAGGCTTTGGTTGGAATGCCTGGTTCTTCCGGCTTATCGACAGAGCAGAGAAAGCGTCTTACCATTGCAGTGGAGCTTGTAGCAAACCCTTCCATTATTTTCATGGATGAACCTACGTCTGGACTTGATGCACGTGCAGCAGCCATTGTTATGAGGACTGTTCGTAATACGGTTGATACTGGTAGAACAGTGGTTTGCACCATCCATCAACCAAGTATTGATATATTTGAAGCCTTTGATGAAGTTAGTTTTTCAATTACTGTGTCTAATCAATTTACTACTATTATAACTAATGATTAAGTAGCTTATCTCATATGGTCTGAATTTTGATTCTTCATTTGCAGTTGCTTCTTATGAAACGTGGAGGAAGAGTCATATATGGAGGAAAGATTGGTAGGCAATCAGATATAATGATAAAGTATTTCCAGGTGAAACAACATTTTAATTGTTTCTTTTATATTTTATGTCATTTCGTTCCTTAGCAGTGTGAGGATCAGCATGTTAAGATAGAAGAAACTTGCAAGTCTTTGCCACTAAAATATTTGAATCACCATGTTCAAAGAGTTTAGCCTCAAGTTAATATTGCCTCTTCTAGCTTCTAAAAGAACATGCAGGTGCTGTGAACATATTAAAGTTCTATATTACTTTAGAGTTTTTAGTTATTATCAATCTTGACCTTACTTTTGTGTCTTGACTTTACCATGCATTTTTCATCACCTCGCCTGAATTGTTTTATGGAGGAAAATTGTTGTTTCTGTATCTTGTTGGGTTGATTGTATATTAATGGTATGAAATTTCTTCCGTATTTGTTCTGTAGAATATTGAAGGAATCACCCCAATTACCAGTGGCTACAATCCAGCTACTTGGATGCTTGAGGTTTCCACTGCTGCTGTTGAATCAAAACTTGGTATTGATTTTGCAAACGTTTACGAAAATTCTGAGCAATTCAGGTATATAAATTATTTTCGTGTGGCCAAGATCATCCCTATACTTCTGGTGTTTGAGGATAGGATCAAATAAGTGACTATGATAATTAATACAAAAAAAAATTTCCATGTAAAATTAATGATTGTGTCACATACTTACCTTAGGGGTGTGGTAGCTTCTATTAAGGATTATGGACAACCTCCTCCTGGCTCACAACCGTTGAAGTTTGAAACTGAATTTTCACAAAACACATGCGCACAATTTCGCAAGTGTTTGTGGAAGCAAAATCTAGTGTACTGGAGGAGTCCACCTTACAATGCAATGAGGTTGATATTCACCGTAATATGTGCCTTGATATTTGGTACAGTGTTTTGGGACAGCGGTTCAAAAAGGTATGCATCCTTTATAATCTCTTTTGTCATAAGAAAAAGTATCTTATTATGAAACAATGGCAAACAGTAGTTATAATAATCATGTCATAAATATTCTGCAGGGAAACTATTCAACAAGTGAATGTAATTATGGGTGCACTTTTTTCTGCATGTCTCTTCCTTGGTGTAAATAATGCATCTTCTGTACAACCTGTTGTTTCAATAGAAAGGACAGTGTTTTATAGAGAGAAAGCAGCTGGAATGTACTCTCCTATTGCTTATGCAATAGCCCAGGTGGGTATCATTTTTCCAGAAATGATTTTCTAAGTTAAATTTCTTGTCCATTTTGCATATCCTGATTACTTAATATGATTATTAACAGGGACTGGTGGAGATTCCATACATTGCTATTCAGACAATAGTATTTGGAGTAATTACATATTTCATGGTTAATTTTGAAAGGAATGCTGGTATGATTTTAACTTACTAGTACCATATTAATATGCTTCCTACACTGTGGATTTGTTATCCTCCTAAAATTTACATCATCATTGAAACTAGAACTATTCACTTTTGGTTACATTAATCATATCTCTAAATTTGTCTTGAGACAAATACTAACATAATGCTATTTCTTTTAATTTCAGGAAAATTTTTCCTCTATCTTGTGTTCATGTTTCTCACATTTACCTACTTCACCTTTTATGGGATGATGGCTGTTGGTATTACACCTACCCAACACTTTGCAGCTGTCATTTCATCTGCATTTTACTCTTTATGGAATCTTGTATCTGGGTTTCTCATTCCAAAATCTGTAAGTAAAAAACAGTTACATCTATGTTGTAACCTTTAAATGTATGTAACATTTTTATATTGTCCCTAATGTTAATGAGTCTTGTAATGTTTCAGCACATTCCTCCATGGTGGATCTGGTTCCATTATATTTGCCCAGTTTCTTGGACTCTACGTGGTATTATCACATCTCAACTTGGTAACGTGCAAGACATAATTGTGGGACCTTCATTCAAGGGAACTGTGCAAGAATATTTGGCTTCTAGTCTTGGATATGGTACTACAGTTAATGGAATGTCATCGGTAGTACTTTCAGTTATTGTGCTTCTTTGCTTTAACATTCTCTTCTTTGGTTCCTTTGCTGTATCCATTAAAGTGCTGAATTTCCAAAAGAGATGATTCAAGAATAGAATAGAGTCCAAGATTAGAGATAGTATTTTTTTTTTTTTGATAAGCACAAGAGTTTCATTAATTAAGCACTAGGGGTGCTTAACCCAAAATTTACAAGTATTAAGTACCATATACTAAGTCTCACAAATCAACCCAAAAAATTTGAGATAGTATTATGATTAGAGATAGAATTATGATTGATGATTTTTACATTAGACAATCTTCATTGTTGAATTCTCATTTTCAAGTGAAATACATAGACACTAATAATGTGTTATTATTTTGAAGTGTTGTCACATCAATTATTATAGAAGATTCAACTTGTTATCCTCTTTGTGTTTAATTATTGTAATTTTCGCAGAAATGTTAGAAAAAGAGTTAAGGACGTTAAATTTTGATATTATATATATAAAAATAAGATTATATATTGATCATTTACATTTTAATAGTTTTTGAAATATACTTTCTATTTGACTGAGTTTTATTATTGTTGTAATGTTAACAACTAAATTATATAAATATGCTAAATAGAAAATCACAATACGCCCAATGTTTAATTGGATTTTCCAAGAGTTAAGAACATAATTTTATAGAAAATCACTCCGTGGAATCTAATCAAGAGTCTCACTCTTTATTAGATCTCCTGATTGACCTTCTAATGGAGTTAGGAGAAGAAAAAAGAAAGGATAAGAAGAGGGAGAAAAAACAACTAAAGAAAATTTAATTTGAGAAAGAATCAATCCTCAGTATTTTCTTTAATTAATTTGACTAAAGTAAAAGGTGCACCACAAAAGAAATTGAGAAATTATAATCTTTAATTGAAAATTTTAAAAAGTAAAATTTTAATTATATATATCATAAATTTTTTTTTTTCTAATAAGAGGGGCTAAACACCCAAAATTAGAAAAATTATGACTTCACTCTCGAGGTGCACAAACTTAAATAGTCTAACCTATATTTAACAAGCCTATTAGTATATTTTAAATTAATTTTTATTAATTAATTAAAAAAAATTTATAAGAAGAAAAAATTGAAAAAAAATGTACGGGAAAGAATAAAAGCATTACTTTTTTTTAATAAAACAAAAATAATTTAATGAATATTATATGAATATATTTTTTTAAGATTAATATGGATTAAAATATTTTTAATTTATTAAGAAATAATGTACTTTTAATTTCTATTTATTTAAATTTAGATAAAATATTTTAAAAAATGGAAGGTAAGTAACATAAAAAAGTAAGTAACGTAAATAAATACTTTAAAAGAACCACCTTAAAATTTAATAATAATAAAAAAACTGCGTCATATGAGAGCATATATTAAAGATTTTCTAACCATATTAGTTTTGAATTACTGCAAGAACTGAGGAAAAAATTGTGGAAAGTGATCGCAGACGCAAAAACCAAGATAGAGACAGAGGTTTTATTGCCAATGGGTGGAGAAGACAAAGCAACCCCTCCACTTGGAGCCATACATACAGTGACACTAGGAGACATAGATGTGGAAAATAAGTTATATACATTGTTAAATTGGATGATTCCATCTGTATATAAACTATTAAAGTATGCAGCAATAAAGGGCTAGTCAACTAGCACATGCAAACAACACCTTACCACTAATTTTCTAAAGTCAAACCGCATCCTCTGGTGCTCCTTGTAGCAATATTGCGAATGTTCTATACCTTGTAGCAAAACCAAGCCCACCAACTTTTTCTCTACTCCCCAAGAGTCTGAAAGGGAAACGAAATAATGCATCTAGATATTCCCAATTGGCCAAATTTTCCACTTGTTTGGACCAACCCATTTTGCTCCACAATCTCTTCACAAACACGATGCTTCTCAGGCATGGCTTTTGAAAACCAAAAGTTCTCCACAAACATATCTTGCAGGACATGCAATCTCAATTTCTTCCCACAAATTGGCAAAACCTCTTTGCAAGTGAAACTTGGCCAGTGATTGAGTTAAAAGCTTGCCCATTGTTGTAAAGTATATCAATTAATTTTTTTGGCTGTCCAAATGTGTTGATCAGCTATTAGCATCGCATATGATCCTTCAATATAGGCCTCTTCCCAACACTTCCTAGCTAGTTCCTCCGTAAACAGAAGGGAGCTTCAAATGTTAACAAATAGCTCCATAAACACTTAAGCTACCCGTGAAGTAATAAACTTATCTAATAGAACTAGCCAACAATAAATCAGGTCTATGCTCAGGCCAAGACACCTTACCACTATGTTTCTCCATGAGCAAATCCTACAAAGAATAGTAGAAATTAAGGGATCTACTAATTCTAGCAAACTCTTCATGGTAATAGTGGAGCTTCTCTTCATCAAAGGGTGCTTGAAGGGATACCTAGTGCTTGGTTCCTGTCTGAAGGGAAACATGCTTTAGATTCTTCACAATTTTGAGTATAGAATTCAAAGCATTGGATATCATGGCCTTGTTTTTTTGACGGGAAAATGTTAATACAGTAACACGAATATAATAGGCAAGCAATAAGCACCAAAAAAAATTCTCCCAAACTTTGCAAGAATCAGATAAGAGCACCAATAAAAATATAGCAAAAATAAAACTACAAAATAATACAAAAGACACACAATTGTTAATGTGAAAAATTATTTAAGATAAGGATAAAAAATCCTAAATCCTCTAGACCAAAGAAATAATCTATGATGATCAATAGAAGATACAATAAGGTCTTAAATAAATACACAAAACTTACAACGAACTTGCTATAAAAAAATCTGCCTATCCAACAATGAAAAAAAATCTATAATTATAATCTAAAAAATGATAGTCTCATTTCTTGGGTGCCGCGGAAAAATAATAATGGGTTATCTTTCTCTCTTCTCTCTCATTAATCTTTCTTCGTATAGAAAAGGAGTCCAAAAAACTCAACAGTTTTGTTCACAACTTTCTTTGGTCTTTATGGTAACTAGCTAGCCCATGTGATTCAAAACACGTGATTCACATCTACATCTTGTAAGCCACATAGCTTCTTTCGGGTCTCCAAATGAAATGGTAACAAAGACTTATAAGGATAGTTGGCATCTTAGGATTTATAGCTATACCATAAACCTTCCAAGAAGGTTCTAAAAGCAACATCCTAGCTAGCTCTCTCCCAACAAGTACTGTGACCCAAAGATGATAGCAACATTGTTTGTCTCCTATATAGATGCCATTACCATATGTGGGACTCTAGACACTGACCCTTTTATATTTTTATAAACACTTTTAAATGCACTCATTGTTTGAGAACAATTAAAAAAGTTGTAGTCACCACAGAAGTCTCAAAGCTTACGAGAAGGGTGAAAAAAAAAGTAAAAAAGTTGTAGTCACCACCGGAGTCTCAAAGCTTATGAGAAGGGTGAAAAAAAGTAAACAAAGTATTACTTATACGCAGATGTTAATGATTGTTTTAATTTGTTTTGTCTTCACTCAAAAAAGAGTATACATAGTACTAATTAATTCAATCTCAACTGTATAGTCACATTCTTAAATAATCTTTAGATTTCTCTTATTCTAGTGCATATTCGATTCTAACATATATCTCTTCTGCAAGAAGCCTGCCAAGAGCTCCTTTTTACCCGAGTCTCATTGCACCAATAATCACTCTCCATCCTTTTCAGCACTCAGATGTTGCGATATTCCAAGAGTTCTGTGATTATTCCTTTTAATTTGGAGGAGAGGAACTGTGTTCCCTTTTTTGTAGGAATAGTAATGTTGAAAAGGAACAAACTAATTCAAAATTCTTATGTAAAGTTGAAACACCCCACCTAATTTTTGGGGCAATAAAAAAGTCTGAATTGTTATTTTATAATTTATTTGAGTAAAAAAAGTAACAATTTCTTTCTTGGATGTAGGCTGAATTGTAACACGTGTGATCAGTTACTGGTTAATTGTTTTTCTTAGTTTACATAAACCTTTTCTAGACTTGTACTATATATTTTCATAGGTTTTACCGTTTTATTCATTCTACTAAATTCAGATTTTCAATAACTATAATATAATTGAGTTGGTGATTAGTTTAATTATACAGTGACTGAAGTTAGATGCGTGTGTGATTAGTTAGTCATTAATTATGTTTCTTAGTTAATATAGACCTTATATTATATACTTTAAATAGTTAGTAATTGTAGTTAAATACACATGCGATCAGCTTGAATATAAATGCGGCATATCTTCTTGTATTTCCGTTGGATTATAATTTCTTTCTTCCATTATCGTTGTATTAATTTTAAGTTCTCTATTCTGAACATTTCCTGAAAGTAGACAACAAATTTTAAATTGAACATCTCGTAGTCCTTGAATCAGTCTAATTCGCCACATTGCGTAAAACTGAAATCGAAGCCCATTCCTATTAAAGATTGGGTTGGTTGTTGACTAAGAAAACGGAAAATTTTTCACAAGCAGATTTCGCTCATAGTTCTTTCTTGTTTGATCTGCCGCTGTTAGAACAACATGATATTTGTCCTTTTGGGGTTAACGCTTTCAATGGTTAATCGATCATTCCATATCTTTTTCCTTCTTTTGTTGTGAAAACGGAGTGGAAGAAAAGTAATGAAATCCGGATGGCTACTGAATAACCTCCTTTGACTTTCTCCAAAATAAAGCCTTTTACCTTTATTTTTGTTCGCCAAATCTTGTTTAGTTCCATCTAAGCGGTTTTGTCTGAATCTTCGTGGAAGAAGAAGAAGCGGTTCATCAGCCACTACATCTGTCGATCCCACCAAATCATTTAACCGGGCGGCTGCTCGCTCTTTGATCAGTAATTCGCCGGCTACTACATCGATGAAAAATCTCTCCAAAATCTTCTTTTTGATTAGTGGATAGTGGAGTCTCATTCAAACTATCTACTCTAAGTTGCTAGTAAGTGTAACTGAACAATTGAAACTTTCAACCGAACTTCTTAATGTCTTCTTTCTTTTTCTTTTTCATTTTTTATAAATCAAAAAGATAAAAATCTCTATAAACAAGGAAAAAAAAGCTAACCTAATAAGTGTTTTTTTG